TTTTTATTTGTCCGGGAATCTCAATTTTCAAAAATATGATTTTTACATTCAGTTTACGATAATATTCGAAAATTTAAAATTTAGAAAAATTCAGTTTCCCGGGAATCCGGCCAAATGCCGCGTACCAAACGCCCCCTAAACTCCTTTGGGATTCCTAACCGCTGTCATTTATAAAGAGGGTCTTCACATTTAGGTTGTGCATGACAACCTTCCCGAAATGAGTTTTTTTTTTTTAATTTTGTTCCTGGGAATAAAAATGAATGAGAAATTCGTTTTGTAAAATCGATTTATTTTTTTGTTCCTCAGATGAACCGGTTTAATTTTTGTGCCGGGAAATAAAAAAAAGAATCAATTTTTTTTTGCTTTTCTCATTCCTGGCACAAAAATAGAATCAGTTTTCCCTATCTCTCTCTTCGTACCCCTCACACACCAACACCAAACCATCACCGACCTTCAACATATCACCAGACCACCACCCTCCCTCGCCGCGGAATCGTCTCCTTCCCTATCTCTTTCGCTTTTTTGGTGTGCCCTGACATTTCCAAAGCGAAGTTGCATTTGCTTATCAGACCCACAATTGTTCTATACAAACAGGATCACTAAACAAATTGACAATATTACTAATTGGAACCATAAAATCTAGTAATAGTACTAAATTTGAAATGCTTTGCCAGAATAATAAAGAAAGCTACTTTCATGATTTGAATACATCTCTCAATCAGTAAGCAGAAATGTAGACGAGGCATTAATATTAAGGTAATAATATGATATTAAAAAATAAAATGGTCAAGGCAATGAGAAACAAAAAAAAAATATGAATTGTGAAGATGATTGAAAAATAATAGTTAAAACTATATATTAGCATTTGTCGTAAAAAAAACTATATAATAAAATATTATAAATATTTATATAATTTTTTTAAATATAAAATTTGGCATTTCGGTTAAAATCTATTGTCATTTGCTATTTTATACACTTGATGAAATCTATAAACAAAAGTAAAGAAATAGATTTTTATTGTGTTAACAAACGTAATTTTGATTCTCGGAATAAAAAAAAAAACTTGTTATCAAAAGTAATTCTGATTCTCAGAATAAAAATAAAATATGTTAACAAACGTAATTTTGATTCTCGGAATTGTTCCAAGGCACAGAAATAGAAAAGAATCATTTCTTTTTAGAAACAGTGCCAGGAATCAGAATGATTATCATGCACAGCCTTATTGACATAAGCAATAGAGATATTTCTTTTACCTTACACATTACACTCAGAGCTGGCAAAATGGGTTTAGCCCGCCGGGTCGGCCCCACCCCGCCAAGCCCCCGCCCGGGCTGATTTTTTTTTTTTAATTTTTGGTGTAAAATGTCAAGGACTTGACGGGCAGCCCGCCCCACCCGCCCAAACGGGGCGGGGCGAGCTGGGATTTCTAGCCCACCTTCAAAGGCGAGGCGAGCCAATCCACTTTTTGGCGGGCTGGGGCGGAGCGGGGCGGACAACCCACTTTGCCACCTCTAATAGAGTTATAGCTTTTGTTGATTTGAAATGTTTTGTAGGTATATAATTCCCCTATTTTCGGAATATATAAAGGAGTTACTTGCTATTATCACCGTGAGAACTATACTATAAAAACTTATAGTATATTCTCGCTTAATGTTCCAATAACGGCTCATGATGATTTGGTAAAATTCATATTTCTAAATGAAAAAGGCAAGTTATGAAAGTTTTGCCCCTCTCCTATGTCTTACCTGTTAAAAAACAGTTACGTTAAACTAAAAAATAACAATTACAAAATTAAAAAAATCAAAAGACATTACATTAACATAAATTCGAGTGGGTGATGACGTGAGCTATGTAATGTGTTTTTTTATCAAATTTTGGTAAAAATTTATAGAATAAGAAAGTTAAAAAAGTCTTAACTTTAATATGACGAAATATTAGATAACATAAAGAATTTAGATTGTTTAAAAAAAAAATAGTTCCGAAATTAAAATGTCACGCTACAATATACATTAGTCCTCTTGTTTGTTTTTTTATATACGCTACTTTTTTTATGAAAGCTAGATTGATCCGTTTTTGGGTTGACGACGTTATACTAGTCTATGAATATGTTTCGAATTTTTTATTTTTAATTCACTTACTTTTTTTGATTAATTTTTGTATAAAATAGTTTAATTTAAATTTGGAATTATTTTTTTTGGTATCCTATTTTTTAAAAATATTTTTAATAATTAAAAAATCTTTAATTGAAAAATAAATAAATAATTTTAAGAGTAAATACCCTTTTCAATTCTCAACAAATTTTACGATGCTCGTTTTAGTCCCTAGCAAATAAAAAGACTATTCGTGTTCTCTAAGAAATTCAAAGTGCTAGTTCTTTTGAGGGACTAATATGAGTCTTTTTTGAATTTGCGAGGGACCACGATTTCAACTAAATGGGTCCATTTTGAATTTCTTAGGGACCACGAATAACCTTTTTAGTTGTTAGGAACTAAAGCGGGCATCGTGAAATTTGCTAAGGACCACAAGAAATATTTACTGTAATTTTAATTTCTTCTTCTTCATATATTGCGTGATTATCTAAATTTAATTGGCCATTGTAATATACTACATATATAAAAAGTTGGAGTTAGGTACTCATAGTGTTGATTTAAATAAAAGGCAACAAAATACTTTTACGATTTATGTTAATTTTTATGAGACAAATAAATTGATTTTTTTTCGTGCGTTGCACGGGTAATATACTATATTTGATTTGCAAAATAATATTAATGTTTCTTAATTGCAGAGTTTTGGTTGATACTTACAAAGTTCTACGTGAATCGTGAATGTTGTAGTTTTTTCATTCTCATAATAACATCAAATATTGACAATTCTTTCTTTTAGAAATTAATTGTCGACGGTCATCAACAAAAATTTTGATCTTTTTAATCCGTGCATCGCACGGGTTATGCACTGGTGATTTCAGAAAAGTAACCAAATCTAAATGTGAATCCCAAAACAAATATCAAGCCCAGGCTATCCAAAAATTTATTGTAAAACAAAAAGAAAACAGGAGTAAATTGAGAAAAAAGAGAGAGTAAATATCCTTTTTAGTCTCTGGCAATATCCACGAAGCCCTCTTCAGTCCCTAGCAATAAAAAGGGACAAATTGGTCTCTAAAATAACAAAAAAGAGGTCACGTTCATCCTTCTGTTAACTCCCACCTAACGGCGCAACTAACAGTGCACAGTTGGCACGTTAGTTTGCTGACGCGGCTTGGATGTAGGACACCGTGGAAGACGAGACGACGACGTTATGGTCCCTGTCAAAACCACGAGGGCCATTTTGGTCCCTGTCAAAATGCACGAGGACGTTTTTAGTCCCTGACAAAAAGCACGGGGCCCTTATTGGTCCCTAACCAGAGAAAAATAGGCACATGACTTCATTGCTATGCAGTCCAATTTTGCAAAACAGAAGTGCATTACATCAGAAACAGGAGTGCAATCCAATTTTGCAAAACAAGAACATGACATTAAATTGGATTTGTATGCAGTCCAATTTGTTAAACCAGAAGATATGGATGTATAAGAACTACAACTACGTATATTAGTTAAAAAACATCAAAAATGGTAAACTTAAACATTCATCAACCCTGTGAAACATAATAACTGGAACATGATTTGAGTATCATTATATTTGAAGACATGGATGTACAATAGTGCATTACAAAATAAAGCCAACTGTCAGGAATTAAAAGAAAGACCTCTAATACAATATGGCCAGATTTTACAAAAAAAACATTGACATAATAAGGTTTCCAAATACATAATGGCCAGAATTTTCAAAAAAAGTCAGTCACATAATAATAAATCCTTCTCAGTTGGCTCATGCACTACTCCCAGGTCATATACAACAGCAAGTCATTTTCTTGAGGCAGGCCTTGGTGGCCTAAAACCAGGTGTGCTCATGAAGGCCAATAATCTGCTTCGTGTGCCACTGGTTGCTGCATTCATTATTTCATTACTCAACAGCTCATTTGCCTGGTGTGGATTTGATGGAGGTGGGTTGCTTCCTCTCAAGTTGCCTTCATGTGGCTGAGAACTACCAACTGCTGCAGTCTAGTCAACTGCCATGCATTGCAATTATCAATAATCGTTTACCTGGCTTCTTCTGTGATTTTTCTTTGTATTTAAATATCAACAATCATGCAATTATCTTTTATAGAAAAATAAATAGTATAATTGTAATGCTACACTACTGAAGATATTGTTCGTAAATCGTATAACGCTATGTCTTATACAGACTAAGAGAATTAAAGCAGTTCATAGTATTCTAGGGATCGTAAAAGCTGTTTGTAAGAGCCAAGAATCCCTTTTAATAAAGTGGGAAGCTTAATTAGCATTGAAAAATAAATGAATAATCGTTAATAAGGTCGAAACTTCAGTTAGAAACACAAACTTCATTGAAATAAAATGTCAAGAAGGAGTATTTTACTTTGTGATGAAATTTAGTTTAATTATTTTGTGATGAACAAATGGATTCACTCCTGTTTCTGATGTAATGCACTTCTGTTCTGCAAAATTGGACTGCATAGAAAAGCAATAAAGTCATGTGCCTATTTTTCTCTGGTTAGGGACCAATAAGGGCCTTGTGCTTTTTGTCAGGGACTAAAAATGTCCTTGTGTATTTTGACAGGGACCAAAATGGCCCTTATGGTTTTGACAAGGACCAAAATATCGTCGTCTCGTCTTCCACGGTGTCCTACATCTAAGCCGCGCCAGCAAACTACGTGCCAACTGTGCACCGTTAGTTGGGCCGTTAGGCGGGAGTTAACGAGAGCATGAACGTGGTCCCTTTTTTATTGCTAGGAACTGAAAAGGGCTTCGTAGATATTGCGAGAGAGTAGAAATGATATTTACTCAAAAAAAAAAAAAGAAAAAAAAGAGAGAGGAAAAGTTTGAAGTCATAACTCATAACAGAGCACACCATAGATCTTGTTTTGCTTTTTGATACAAGGTCAATTGCGCAAAGACAATTGGAGCATACAAGCCTTACCGCTCTAAATTCGCGTTAAATCTCGCTACAGGTTGAGGTTTTGCGTATTTTCGTTTGGTTACTCAGAAAATAAGAAGGAAAGAAGGGAAAGGAGCATGGTTCTTGACGAGGACAGAAATTCGTTACTCCATGTGGTTAACGCGAGTTCAGTGAACGCACATTCCTCAAATCTACATGGAATCTGAATTCTGGACGGATTTAAATTAAATCTGTAGGGCGATTCCGATCTCTGCTACTTTTGGAATCTATATTTTTTTTTTTCATCTTCGCGTATTTCCACTCTATTTAGCTATCAAAGCAGAAGAAGATGTTGCGCCTGAAAGCGTTCCGGCCTTCCAGTGATAAAATCGTTAAGATCCAATTGCATCCGACGCATCCATGGATGGTCACAGCCGATGATTCAGATCGAGTCTCTGTTTGGAACTGGGAACACCGCCAGGTAGTGCCTCTTATTCAATTTATTGTCTCTCAATTTCGTTTCTGTTGTTGTATTTTAATGGAAACCTCCGTCAGGTGATATATGAGTTGAAAGCTGGCGGAGTGGACGAACGACGTTTGGTCGGCGCCAAGTTGGAGAAGCTGGCTGAGGGAGAAACAGGTTCAAATCTCTTGGCGTGATTTAAAATTGTGACGCTGAGTATATAGATAGCCTTCATATTTATTGTCCTATTATTATAAACCTGCTGCATTTCCTTTTATTGGATGGCTTTGGAAACATAAATCTCATGATCGGTAAATGTTACTGAGTAACTGGTCTTTTGTAACAATTGTCCACTGGAATTTGTTAATTTTTTGGCATTGTTATTGTCATTGTTATTTCTCACTATTATTTTGTGGTATTAACTAACTATCCATGGCTGCCAAATTGTTTTATTCTTAGTAGTGAAAAAACCTCAACCAGGTAAATTTTCTTTGTGAGCCTGAATGCCATGAAAATTTACAATCTCCAGGCTTGATATGGTTCCTATTTCTAAATTTTTATAGAATGCAACCTTTACTATGTTTTATACTCTGACAGCAAGAAGAATTGCTTCAATTTCCGATAATGTTAGTCACTGGTTAGTTTTGGCGACATTTTTATCTTGTATGATTGAATTTGTAACTTATATTATTAGTGTTTTGGAAATTGTAACAAGTGAGTTTGATTTTATGCAAAAAGAAAAGGGTACAATAAATGGTTTCTTAAATATTATTTGTGACCTTCAACTTTTTTGTGCTGATCTAGTAACAAAATTTCATAATGATATAATTTTTGTTTGGCAGAGTCTAAAGGGAAACCCACGGAAGCCATTCGTGGAGGAAGGTAATATACCTTTGCTATGTGTTTTTACTTTTTATATCCTTTTCTGGTTCATTTACTTATCATGACTCTTTACCTGCTTTAAAGTGTGAAGCAGGTGAATTTTTATGATGATGATGTGCGCTTTTGGCAACTTTGGCATAATCGCTCTGCAGCAGCAGAGGCTCCGACTGCTGTCCACACTTCAGCTTTTAATTCTCCTGCCCCAACAACAAAAGGGAGGCATTTTCTTGTCATATGTTGTTTAAACAAAGCTATATTTCTGGACTTGGTGACTATGCGTGGTCGTGATGTACCAAAGCAAGAGCTTGACAATAAGTCCCTTCTATGGTAAAGTTTTATTACATTATTCTATATTCTTTAGCTCCTTCTGTGATTGATGTTAAAATTGCTACACACTATCTATTAAGGCAAGACTTGTTGACTCTCTGATAGCTGCTGGTTCCTTTTATTACTGTGAATTTGTCATTGATATAATTTGATGTTCTCCAACTTAAGCAATGCCTTTATGTTGTATCAAACCGTGCATGTATTTATTTATTTGCAGCATTCTTTCCTCATATATCTGGAATCATGTCAACTTTATATAGCTCTGTATTTATCAATGAGAATAGCTGCATTCTGACGGAGTCATCTGACAAATTCTGCAGGATACTTTAAATTTAATCGTTTCAAAGGCTATGGTCATTTTTTCAGTAAAATAATTTATGCACAAATTAAAATTTATTTCTCCTTAAATGGTCTCTTCTGTGTGGGCTTGTTGCCTTCCCCACTCCCAAATATCTCTCTTTCACAGATACATGCAGACACAATCATTGAGACATGCATATACATACTGAATGGGTAGGCATTTACATGTATAAATTACCAAATTCCAAATGGAGATTTCTATCTCTAGAAAATAATTTGTTTGCCTCCTTCTTTGCTGTTATTCTAATTTCTAAAGAAATAAAGGCAAGAAAAGAAAGGGGGTAGAGACCGCTCAATAAGTGAAATAAAATAACTAAAACTTTTGTTTTCCTTTGAGTTATGATCCAATTTGATTTGTACAAGTTAAAGTCCTCAGTGTGAAAAATCATCACCTTTTCATTTAAATATACCAACTTCTGCTTTATCCTTTGTCTTTATTCTTGATGGAAATCTTGCATCATATGTTATTAATCCTCTGTGCTTCATATGACATAATTTTGTATTCCAGTCATAAATTAATTGCCAAGAATGCATATGTTTATTTACATATTATATTTATCTTGTGCAATCTTTATGCACACTGTATAAGTTGTTATCATTTTCCAATTTTATCTGCTGTTGCAGCATGGAGTTCCTTTATAGATCTGGTGTTGGTGATGTTCCTCTTGTTGCTTTTGGTGCATCTGATGGTGTCATTAGAGTTCTCTCAATGATGACATGGAAGGTGGGTACCTAAAATATTAATCTAGTTGCAACTATTTGCATATTATTTGATATTTTTGTTCCTTGCAGCTTGTAAGAAGGTACACTGGAGGTCATAAAGGATCAATATCTTGCTTGATGTCCTTCATGGCTGCTTCTGGCGAGGTAAATCTTGATTCCCCATTGAAGAACTTATGCTACTTAATTGTATTTCACTGGCATTAGATGTAGTAGCTTAGGATTCTCTGGTACCCCTTACCTATGCTTTAACAAGGAATAATGTTAGTCTTACACCCTCACACATTTCCCATATTCTTCATAGGTAGCCATTGGATCAGTTTTGTGTTAGTAGTTAGTAGGTGTTAATGTGACAGCCCTGCACATATCTAATGGCTACCTGGACAGAGCATGAGTATGTAAGAGTAACATTTCTTTTTAGCTAAATCAGGTTTTGTGAATGTGAATGTATTATCATTGTTTATTTTGTCAAAACTTTCGAACTTAGTAATTGTATTCTCTCTTAGACACTACATTTCTTCAAAAGGAAATAATTTCATTTGAAGGGAACATTTATTAAATTATCTTTTATTTGTTTTCTGATAAAAGGACAAATGGTCAATCCATTAGCATAGAAAGAGTACAATGGAGGATTAGGAATTTCTCCTAAAACAGGGAAGAAAAGGACAAAGAAAGGAAACAAAGGAGAAGAATGCCTAGTCAAAAGAGGAATTCAGGCCCTCTAGCCCTTGAATATTAGCTGAAATCCACAGAGGCTAAAAAGTGAAACACAAGTGCCTATTCAGTGAAGATGAGAAATAAGAGACCTCTGACTCAAGATTCTTCCATCATTCTGATAAGACACCTCTAAAGGCCTCTAGGAGGCGCTAATCGCTATAGAGGATCAGTTGGATTGTCTGACTCAGCAATGAGAAAGAATATTCCAGATGGGGTATTGCAAAGGATTCTTTTAGAGGAAAGAGTGAAGCACAGGCTGACGTGGCTGAACAAGTTAGTAGAGTGGTTGTAAGGGAGTATGGCATGGAATTTAGGCTGGCTGGATTTGGGACTGGACTTGGGAGAGAGCTGCACCTCTTGAATTTGCTGCATTTCTGTTATTCCTAGTTCTTCTTTTTCTGTAATTTGTAGCTACTTGCTGTAATAGTCGCTCAGTAATTTCCCTTCTTCATATTCATAGGTGTAATCTGTTTCTTATATTAATACAGAAAATCCAGATTTATCTGGGCCAAAATCCCTTGTTTCCTTTCTTTTTCTGTTATCATCTGATCCAGTCTTAACACATTCCAACCAAGTACACCACACTCTTACTTGAAAGAGCAAAACTTCATAATACCTTTTCTCCTATTCCACTCCCTAAGTTTCTAAATTTAATAGAAAAATCCCTCCATTTTAGGCATACATATCCACTCCTCCCCACCCAAACAACTTATTTCACAACTCTAAGCTATCTTATGTGACAGATGAGATGGCTTTTAGTTTCTGAGCTTTTATGGAATGTAGCACAAATGTTAGGGGAGAGGGTGTTGTGAGGTGCAAAGCGGGCGGCCCGCCCCGCCATCAACCTGCCAAAAACTAGCCAACCCGCCCTGCCCCGCTTTTGAAAGCGAGCTGAAAAACTCGGTCCGCCGGGCCGAACACGTTTTGCATTAAGAAAAAAAAGGTTTGGCGGGTTGTAAAGCTTGGCCCGTCTGGCCGAGCCCGTTTTGCCAACCCTAGTTGTGAGGTCTCCGTAGTTCACCCATGTAAGTAAGAAGTCATTTGTGCTCAACTGCTAATCATATTGAATATCACTATCTAAACAAGAGCCTTAACCTTAGAGGGAGCATTAGCATTCCAAAAAGTTGTCAAAGGTGAATGTTGAGAATGGTTTTGAATTAGGGCGTGTATGATCACGTTCCCAAAAACATTTCTTTTTTTTTAATTTCTGGTCTGTGGAACAGAAATGGTTAGAATGTTTTTGGGAATGTGTTATTAACATTAAATACACACTATTTATTTCACTTTGGGAATGGAAATAAATTGTGTTATCAAACATTTTATTTCCAGAAACTCTTCCTAAGCATAAAAATAAAAAAATTAATTCTTTCCAGAAACAGAAAGATTGTCTTGCTCACCCTTAGAAAGTAGAAAATGGATTTAGAAATTACTATTGAATGATCCTGAACGGTTTAAAAATCCTGATGTTCCTAGAAAATGCCAACAGACACTGAGGTCATTGATTTATTGGCAATTTTTTTATTTGTACATATTTTGATTGTGTACTCAAGGCTTTGAGGTGGGTGCTTTTGGGATATTCTTCTAGATTATTGGATGTTATTGCTGCCTAGCTATGAAAGACTCTTTTACCAGACTGTTCTAATTTCTTTGGTTTATATTTATAATTGCACTTGCATTACTAGTTCCAGCACTATTTGCTGCAGCGTTGCGTCCATCTAGATAAATTATTCAGAAATTTCAATTTCTAGTTACTATGTTTTCTGTGGTTGATTATTTGTACATATCTATTTATGCTTGGAAGTTGTTTTTGTACTCGATGTGAAGTTTCATTCTTTTTTTTTTTTTTTGGTTATGTTTGGCTGTCAGGCTCTTCTGGTTTCGGGTGCTAGTGATGGATTGCTCATAGTTTGGAGTGCTGACCATGGACAAGATTCACGTGAACTTGTACCCAAGCTGAGTTTGAAAGTATCATTCTTTTCCTCATGCTAACTTCAATTTGTCAGTTAGTCCAATAATTGGTGAAAGATGAATCAAATTTTTGCTTATGATGGCTACAAAACATGGATAAGCCACCATTAGTTGTGGCGGAATTATAGCTGCTATTGCCTCTCTGTTTTAGTAAGTGCATTGATATTTGGTTGAGATTTAATACAGATATGAGATGTACAACATATTATAATAGAAAAGCAGTGGGCTAAATAACAGACACAAGGTGAAATGCAAACTTAACTTGAGGAAAATAAAGTTAAATTCTGATATTTTTCTTCTTTATTTGGTTGCAGCTTATTTTTTTTTTCTTTCTCTTTTACTGCCCTATTATTCTTTTCTGTATGACATGCCGATTCCATGCATGCACATTTCATTGGTTAATAACGCATGATGATTCTAGGCACACGATGGGGGGGTTGTAGCAGTTGAGCTATCTAGGGTGATGGGAGGTGCTCCTCAGCTAATTACAATTGGTGCAGATAAGACATTAGCGATATGGGACACGGTCTCCTTTAAGGTGTGGTAGTGGTGCTAACACTTGGATATTTTTTTGATTCTGTGAAAAATCTCCTGGTGGCTGGAGAGACTTAGCATGAATTATCAATTTAATTATTGCTGCATGCTTTTGATTCTCAGGAGCTGCGGCGTATAAAGCCAGTTCCGAAATTGGCTTGCCACAGTGTGGCTTCTTGGTGCCATCCTCGAGCTCCAAACCTTGATATTTTAACCTGTGTCAAAGATTCTCACATATGGTATGCAGTTTTCTCTCACCTTTGGTGGATTTATTTTTCTTATTTTTTTACTTAATAATGTGATAATGCACTTTATTCATTATATGAAGACTTTTTTATTTAAACTTTTGTTAGGGCAATTGAACATCCCACTTATTCTGCTCTCACAAGGCCATTGTGCGAATTGACTTCAGTTATTCCTCCTCAAGCTCTTGCTCCTAATAAGAAACTGAGGGTACGTGGTTAATTGGTTATCATTGAACACCTTTTTTTGTTAATTTCTAACTTGGTTTAGTATGTTTTGCTGCTTGTACAACTTTTTATTTAAGCTATCCAACGTAGAAGAATGATATGAACATAATTCAAAGCATATTAGAGAATGATCATTTTGAATGGAGGTGAGGATAGACCAAGATTGAGTGCAGCAAAATCCATGTATCACCTGAACTTCAATCCTGTCATAAGTTTCTGCATATTTTAGAATATGCTCATCATGCCCCAGGGCAATAAGTCCTCTTTAACAAAGAAGAAACTGAACTTCAAGCCCCTGTTACTCCCTGCCCAATTTACTACTCTTTTTGTTGTGACTCTACCTGGTAATGGGTTTGTTCAAACTTAATTATGCCACTGATTTTTACTGCAGGTGTATTGTATGGTTGCACATACTTTGCAGCCACATCTGGTTGCTACTGGAACCAATATTGGTGTTATTATGTGTGAGTTTGATGCTAGATCTCTTCCACCTGTAGCTCCCCTACCAACCCCATCGGACAGTAGAATGCATTCTGCCGTGTTTGTAATTGAAAGAGAACTAAAGCTATTAAATTTTCAGTTAAACAACTCTGCAAATCCATCTCTTGGAAATAATAGTTCTTTGTCAGAAACGGGACGGTCTAAGGGAGATTTTTTTGAACCATTACCAGTCAAGCAGGGTAAGAAGCACATTGGTACACCTGTTCCAAATGATTCGTACTCAGTTCTTTCTGTAAGCAGTTCAGGAAAGTAAGTTTCCTCTGACTTTTGCTATAGTTCTATTGATGCTATTATTATTATTTTTTCTATAGAGCAATTTCGTAATTAAAAAGTAACTAATATATTTTTTTCCTTCTATATAATTTAGTGGTCTAGTCTTGATTTTCTCTGCATAATATACAATCCTAAAATTCTAACTTTTGGTACTCCACGTATAACAGTCACAACTCTCAATATTTATTTTCTTTACCAAATTTGTGGTTTGTGTATTGTAATCTTTCTACGTTTATGCTACCTCCTCTTACAACATTTAGTTTGTTAAATTGGAGTGCCTTTTACGTGCTGTAGTTGCTTTCTTACTGCATAATATGTTTTCAGGTATTTAGCAATTGTTTGGCCAGATATTCCGTATTTCTCTGTCTACAAGGTTAGTGACTGGTCGATTGTTGACTCCGGCAGTGCAAGGCTTCTTGCTTGGGATACTTGTCGTGACAGATTTGCTATATTGGAATCAGCATTACCTCCTAGAATTCCGATAATTCCCAAGGGTAGTTCATCAAAAAGAGCAAAAGAAGCAGCTGCAGCCCAAGCAGCAGCAGCTGCTGCTGCTGCTGCTTCCACAGCTTCTGTTCAAGTCCGCATCTTGTTAGATGATGGAACATCAAATGTACTGATGAGGTCTGTTGGTGCACGCAGTGAACCAGTAAGATTCTTTCTCATTCTAAAATTTTCCTTATAAAAATTTCTCATAATAATCTGGGTTTTTATGATTTCTGAATTTACTTGTGGCAATGCTTCTATTCTCATAATAATCTAATATATATATATATATATATATATATATATATATATATATAGAGAGAGAGAGAGAGAGAGAGAGAGAGAATATGAGGCACTTTAGTGTTTCTGCAAGGAAGAAGCTCTGTATCATATTATTTTTGGCACCTGTATTCACATGGGTATTTAGCCATAGCTTTGTCACACAATTCACCCAATCAATTTTGCTCTCTAAAATCTAAATTTCAAGTCTTATGAATAAAATCTCTGCAAATTTTTAAAGTAAATTAAAATAAGCAAGATATTATTTAACTCAGCTTGCATTTGTTTTGATTGATAGCTTTTACAAACGCAATTGTTTTCTTAGAAATTGTATATATGAAAAAGAAGGGGAGAAAGGGGCCTGAGAACTCTTAGATGGATTAATGCTCACTCTGATAAAATGTGTATATTAATTGATTAATAAGTAGCCCAGGATAGTCCATGGGTTGGTAGGGAATTGTTGCTATTTTATGCAATTGCCAATTTGCTGCTATAGAATCCAACTTATCAAATAATTCACTGGTGGAAGGATTTCATGTTTGCTGTTTCAACTTTCAAGTAAAGTGGTTGTATTGGAGGTTCACCTTCTCTGTATGAAATGTCTACTAGTGTTTTTCTAGATATATTAAGGGATTGGTGTTTGTCCTTTTAAAGGACATAGAATTGTGTCATTTTAAGTGAGAGAAAGAAATACACAATGGAAATTATGGGGGGAGAAAGTGAGAGTTTTTTTTTTTTTTAATTTAAACTTTAAATAAAAAACACTAGTTTTAACTAAAATGACCATCCTTTAAAAGGACAAACATTTTTTCCATATATTAAACAGGTCTAATTTTAAAAGTCTTTAGAATAAATCCACTTTTGTACTATTTCCACCAGTAAGAAGACTTTTTTTTTTGCTGTAGAGACTGTTTAATTTTCTAAAGATAGATATTATGTCCTTTTGTGCATGTTATTCTTCAAAGATAGTATTGTTGAAAACAGGAACGATGCTTTGAATGTTAAGGTGTCTTTTTAACTGATGTTTCTCTTTTAGGTCATTGGTTTGCATGGAGGGGCATTGCTTGGCGTTGCCTATCGAACATCCAGGAGAATCAGTCCTATTGCTGCTACGGCTATTTCTACAATCCAGTCTATGCCCTTATCAGGTTATGGAAGCAGTGGCCTTTCTTCTTTTACAACTTATGATGATGGATTTTCTTCACATAGATCTCCAGCTGAGGCGGCACCTCAAAACTTCCAACTATACAGGTGAAACTTGTAATTGTTGTACAATAAAAAAGTATTAGTTGTTGAACATAGTTTTTAGAATTTCTTTGTGTTTCTCATCTTTTATTCCTTGAGGTTATTGATTATTTCTTGTCCTGCCAAATGATGTATTGCCTCTTGTTGTGAAATTGCTTACTCCAAACAAAGTATCTTTTTTTTTCGAAGAAAATATGTTCTTTACCTTCTTCAGGAGATGGGGAAGTCGGGTTAACATCTTCTCTTTATTCAAGTCTCTCTCTTTGGAAGGTTAAGGTGGGCAATGGTACTCAGTAGAATTAGTAACAAGGATCTTGTACAGACTTGTACACCTCACATGACTATTTCTTTTCTAGTGATGATTTTGTTACATGTTATTGGAATTAAGAAACTACGCTCATCTTCTTTTATGCCGAGGTTGCTTGGCAGCTACAATTGATCTTTTTTTCACCTTGTTTGACACTCTAGGATGCTTATGCCATGCTTCATCCTCAAATACCAATTCAGGATTTTGCTCAAATCATTTGGCTGAATATTTTGATATATTTGTTGCAATTCTGTGCAGCCTGTAAACTCCTGATTTGCATCACATTCATATGAAGGCCATTATTGCTTTAATCTATATTAGTTTTTTGTGTGGGTACAAGTTTTCAAGTTTTCTTTAGATTTGACATTGCATTCAATTTTGTTTTTGATTTAGTTGGGAGACATTCCAGCCTGTGGGGGGTCTACTTCCTCAGCCAGAATGGACTGCTTGGGACCAAACCGTTGAATACTGTGCATTTGCATACCAGCAATACATAGTTATATCTTCTTTGCGCCCCCAGTATCGATACCTGGGAGATGTTGCAATCCCATATGCTACTAGTGCTGTTTGGCACCGGAGGCAACTGTTCGTGGCTACACCAACTACTATAGAGTAAGCTATGGACATTGTCTACAATTTTATTGAGTCCTTTACGTAGTTTTTGGTTTATTCATTATTGGTAGTTTGCTTTAGTTGTTTAAGAGGTGGAAATGACAAACTATGCTTACATTGTTAGTTCCTTGTCTAGATGCTAATGGGCTAAAAATATAATCTTTTTATCATGGCCTAAGAAAAAATGGGAGAATTGTGATTTAGGAAATCTGGATGAACATACATCCACTTTAGGAAATAAGCAATAATGTTTAATCAATGTCCATATAATGGTTAATTGGTAACAAAATATTGACTGAATTAATCATAAATCTCAACAGTGCCTAATTTTCCCCCTAATTGATTTTTTTTTTTGCTAGGACTTCCTAAATTGGACTTATCCCAAAAAAACAACAATCAAACCTTATTCCTATTAAGTGGAGTTCAACATTATGTGTCTAGCTGCGGTTTTATGAAAGTTTCCTTTGTTTTATAAGCACTTTACGATCACACAAGTACCTGAGGCATTTTTCAACTTCATCCCTCCTGTTTGGATATGATGCATGTGACATCGTTGTTAATCCCTTTGTGCTTTTGTAGAATAGACTCCACCCCACGTCTCTGAAGCTCCCGGCTTTAGGTACTTGTTCAGGCTCAACTCTTACTATCCCATCATCTTCACTCTGTTGGTTGAACTTAAATTCCATATATATATATATATATATATATATATATATATTTTGAATAATCAAATGGAATCCCTTGGTTTCCAAAGCATTTCTCCACAAATTCCAACTTAACGTTTGCCCTCACCTTTTGTCTCATTCACCAAAACGATGTGATGGGCCTCTAATTCAGGGACCTCCAATTATTGGGTTTTCCAGTGAAGGAAGAGAGGCAAGGAAGGAAGGAACGTGAAGAGAATTGTGTTTAGAGAAGTCTGTTAGGAGGAAAAGGAAGGAGTCTAGCAGAATGGACAGGTGGCACTGGCAGCAGGACATTGGAGAAGGGGGTTTGAACTTTGAAGCATGGGGGGAGAGGGGAATATTAAGGGGGAAACTGGGCAAGAGGGGTATCGGATCATTTGGGTATTCAGGCAGTGGCCGAACCCATAGGGAAGAGAAAGCAATCTTGCTTCTCCGATATCTTCTTTCTTTTGTCATACTTCCTTACTTTTTTTTTTTTTTTCTATTTTTCAGTTTATACGCTGTACTTGGAGCTTACTCCTAGTTGTTCCCTTCTATTTGTCTTACTGTTAAATCAATTCCTATCACAAGATTATTAGTAAAGAGCATGTACTAAGGCTCTTTATCTTGACTTTGTCTAATCAGTTCTCCGTTATGAGCGCAACAAGGCATGGGCTTTAGGTCGAACATCAGTGCAAATCTTTTTGTATGGGAAGCTCTTCACTGACACTTGATGTCCAAACATTTGTCACCTCTTCCTCATACATATCCTTGATCACATGTATACTAGCCCCCCCCCCCCTTCTTCCCTTCCCTCTTCCGGTTAACAAAAAGAAAAAAAGTATTCATTTATATGTTTTTCTGACAATCGTCTATGTATTTGTCATATTTAAAGTTTTATTAGTGAAGTAAACATGTTAAAGGAACCAATTTCAATGAACCAACTATCCCAAGCTGTTAGGTGAAGATTCATGAATGAATGGTTTTTGATTAGTATCTCCAACATCCAGAATTCAAAATGTATTTTACCTTTACTACTTGTATGTTCTGATTTTCAGAATTGTTTTTGTGGATGCTGGGGTTGCACAAATTGACATTGAAACTAAGAAGATGAAAGAAGAACAGAAAATGAAAGAAGCACAGGCAAGAGCAGTCGCAGAGCATGGAGAGTTAGCCCTAATTGCAGTTGAAGGCCCCCAATCTACTACAGAGGAAAGAATATCATTGAGGCCACCGATGCTTCAGGTTAAAACAAGCTTTCAAATTTTATGTCTATGAAAAGGATTGCAAATATTCAGGGTCTTTTTTGTCTTTCCTCAAAAAGATTTAATATTTCGTTTCTAGATATGATTGATAGATGTTGCTGAAATGAATTGAAATTAACATTTTAGATGGAAGTATGTGTCTAATCAGAATTTTTATTTTAATCTTTTATGCCTGATCAGAATACTTTTGGAAACTACACTTTTGGGGGTGTGTTTGTGTTAAAAATCTTGGTCTATTGTGCATGTTCAGTTAGCTATTAGTTTTTTTCAGTTTGAAAGGTTGTTCGAATATCTAGAAAAGATTTCTTAATATTTTCTTAATGAATTTGGAGAAGTTTATCCTTATTTTTGCATAGGTGAAAACAATTAAATGCAATTCTAGTGTATGATTCTGGTTTTATATTGAACTATTCTCTACATCATTCAAAATAATGTCTTGTGAGAAATTTGAGAGAAGAGGCAAATTGCTTTCTTCTTGTTTATATATCTGGTGTCTGCTTTTTCATTCTTCTTTGAAAATTAAAATATCTGCTTTTAATCCTCTGTACATACTGCAGTTTTTTTTTTTAATCTATACTATTTATTTTGTCTTCTCATCTGTGATAAAAATAAATATTTGTGGTTTCCTTTTAGAGGATGTCTTATCTTTTGATGTTGTACTTTTTCGTTTGTCTTCTCTAATAATTTTGTTTTAAGAATAAAGATATTTCTTTCTTGTTCCTACTCTAGGTGGTTCGTTTGGCTTCATTTCAGCATGCTCCTTCAGTGCCACCTTTCTTAACATTGCCAAAACAATCTAGAGTTGATGGTGATGACTCTTGGATGGCAAAAGAAGCAGAAGAGAGAAAGACAGGTGAGGTGGCTGTTGGTGGTGGGGGCGTGTCTGTGGCAGTTACTCGTTTTCCAATGGAGCAGAAACGCCCAGTTGGGCCTCTTGTTGTGGTAGGTGTCAGGGATGGAGTTCTTTGGCTAATTGACAGGTAATTGAGCTTCTCAGTTTCAATTGTATGTTTAAACTTGAAAATGGGCTAGAAAAATAAATGAATTGCTCGAGTGATTTGCACTCAGTGCAGGATATATTTATATACACAAAAAAATAAATACATCTTATATGCTTTATTAACTCATATTGTTTGTTATTTCCAACAGTGACTATTTAATGAACCTAATACTTCCAATACAAAACTAAATTACTATTACTATTTCCAACACAATCAGCACTTACAGTTCAACCCCTCCACAAGAAATGTGAAACCTCAGCAACATTTAATTCCTCCAAGCCTGTACATATGTGCTATTATACCCGTGGTATCCCTACACCCCTTCCATACAGATGAAAATACACAGAAGGGGGTAAATGTCCAAAACTAGAGAGGGGGTCAATGTAATGTTATCAAACCTCAAGAGAGGTCAACGTAATTATTATGATGTTACTTCCTTGGTAGTAAATATCGTCGTGGGTGAGTGGACATATAAGAAAAGATGTGAATATGATAGGACCCAACTTAATAAAGCCCAATATGGCAAGGTAAATGTACTGATGATGTATCACAGCCTAATGAGCATGCTGAGTCAGCTTGTTTGTTAGGGAAGTTGTTACACATGCTGAGAGGTTAGATGATAAATAGGGGACGTGAAGAAGGAATGGGGACCATGGAGGTCATTGGGATTGCTAAGGCAAATTGGGAGATCTCAGGGCATCTCGAAAGCCCCTGAACCATTTACATTCTGCTGATTTCTTTTTGTAAAGAACCTTGGGATACACCACCCCAAAAGCTAGCTCTGAGGGTGAGAGTGCCCAAGGCCTTATAAACTCCACATTAGTTGGCACATACAACCAATGTGGGACTATATATCTCAACACGCCCCCTCACACGAGAGCCCATTGGGCTTGAAGAGTGGACAATGCAACAGGCCCATCCTACCTGTGCTAAGAAACGCCACAAGAGAAATTGGAGGGCGGCGAAGCTCTGATACCATGTTGAATATGAAATATATTGTATATTCAAGTATATGAGTCTGTACAAGGAGGCTCTCTATTTATAGAGACTAAAAGACCTAATGGGATGACCTAATGGGCCAAGCCCACAATCTAGACTATTCTAGACTATTCTAATAATAAATTAATATTATTTCTAACACTTTTCTTTGTTTCTTTTAGCACAATCTGAGCTATAGCAGCACTATAGCATGTAATCAGATTTGTTTCATTGTTAAACCATGTTATTTTTACTGCATTGAGAAATATATAGAAGAATTATTCTGGAAATCTTGTTGTTTACTGCTTGATTCCTATCAATTGGTATCAGAGCACTCCGATCCGGGTGCTTTGAACTTAGCTATTATAAAATAAAAATAAAAATATGGAAAACAGATCTAAGAGTTTGCAGAAGATGAGAAAAGCGGAAGAAACCCACGCAGAGATAATGAGGCTCCTTGACGAGATTTTACATAATGTTTCTCAACTCAACAGAAGTTCGCGAAGAAGACAATCCGAGCGGCAACAGGGAGATCCAATCTGTAAGAATGATGGGGAACTTTATGGTTCTATGGTTCGCGAGAAGAAATTGGAGTTACCAGAGTTTGAAGGAGAAGAAGCCTATGGATGGCTAACCAAGGTTGTGCAGTACTTTGAAAAGTTTGACATACCTGAAACAAAGAGGCTTCCTCGAGTTGCGAAATTGATGAAAGGTCAAGCTAGTGCTTGGTGGTGGTGCTGGAGCGGGATATATGTGAGAGCCTCTTGGAGGGAATTTGTTACGACGCTACTCAAACGATTTCAACCAGATTTGAGGACGGAAATGATAGACAACACGAAGGTAACACACACAGCAACAGGGGCCGACATGCGAACAAATACTAAATTGCGTGTCACCTCCGGCGAAAATTCTGCAAGTAGCTTGAAGGTGGACGTCGTGGGAAGCTATCAAACGGAGCAGTTGCAGAAACCAGCTACGTTGACGGAGGGGACGACGATGCGTGAAACCACGCTGATGGAGAAGGGGAAATTCGTTTAGGCCAACGATGGGTTCGGGCTGGGAACGAGCAACAAGGGAAATGGGCATAACTGGGCTTAACTGTGAGTCTCAGCCCAATAGGTTCACTCAAGTCACATCTGCTCCTAAGCACGTGACCTATTCACAAACCAATGCAGCGGGAAATGACACGCGCTCCTCTCTCAAGGCTTCACCCAATGACTCACGTGCCTCAGCCAGTACCGTGGACAAAGACACACGGGCTACTGCCCAGACGCGTGTGAACTCAGGGGTTTCTTTGGCGAATACCAAGCATGTGGAGAGTTCAGGTAGCAGCGCAGCTAGGGCTGATGGTCGGCGGCTCACTCAGAACACGTTGCATCATAAGTTGCGAAGGGAGATATGTTTCAAGGGTGAGCAGGGATGGAATCACATCCACCATGGCCGGAACGCACAAGTACAACAGTCGGGGGTCGACGAAGAAGACGGAGAGGACGCCATGGATGAAGGGGAACCAACCAATGGCGAACAAGAGGTGGGAGGTGAACAGAAAAAAAAGATTGAGGCCTTGCACCTCTCGATCTACAGTGATGTAGGGGTCTCTTCGAACATGAATGTGAGTTTGGAGCGTTCCTCATTACATAGTCATGGTAGCATAGTGCGGCTGGTGACATGGGGGAAGTTGAAAGAGGATCTGAATTGGGTAAACAAGGAGTTGAGCCATGCTTTATTTCCGGCCCAAACTCTTAGTTCAGAAATTACATACTTGGCCCAATTTGAAGGGAGTAATTGCTCTAAGGCTGTTTTATGTAAGGAATGGGCATGGGAGCCAACAAGTTCGATTGCGTTAAACGGGCCCAAAAACTGTTGGCATCACCAACGTGGGCTGCAATGGGTTTTCCAAGAATATGGAATCTCAAGCCAACCCATCTGGGCACATAAATCACAACGGAGTGTCGGTGTTGGAGGAGACGATGTCGCATTCTCCTTCTCATGGCTGCCTAGAGTACGGTTAAAAAGCATTCTCATTCGATGGAAGTTCTATTGCTTCTCTATGGGAGCGTTCCGTGTCAGTCGTGAAGGGGAGGGGGTGGTGCTAGACGGCAATAGGTCCAGGGGTGCTAGTTACGGCTTGCCTATTCGTGTGATTAAGGGTGACAATGGAAAGACTACAAAAGGGCTATGGGACCCCGGAGGAAATCACTATGCTTTTGTCATACATTGCTGTTTACATTTCAAACAATGGGATCCGGGCATAAGGCTCTTGAGAGCTGCATCTCACCTTGAGGACAAGGTGAATGTTTAGGGGGGGAGTATTGATAGGACCCAACTTAATAAAGCCCAATATGGCAAGGTAAATGTGGCTGTGTCACAGCCCAATACTGATGATGTATCACAGCCTAATGAGCATGCTGAGTCAGCTTGTTTGTTAGGGAAGTTGTTACACATGCTGAGAGGTTAGATGATAAATAGGGGACGTGAAGAAGGAATGGGGACCATGGAGGTCATTGGGATTGCTAAGGCAAATTGGGAGATCTCAGGGCATCTCGAAAGCCCCTGAACCATTTACATTCTGCTGATTTCTTTTCTTTATTTCTTTTTGCACAATCTGAGCTATAGCAGCACTATAGCATGTAATCAGATTTGTTTCATTGTTAAACCATGTTATTTTTACTGCATTGATTATTCTGGAAATCTTGTTTACTGCTTGATTCCTATCAGAATACATGATGAGGAATAAATGAATTTAGGAGAAAGTTGGATTAGCAATAATTTAAGCGATGTATTTAGGCAGGAAGTAGTTAAAATTATAAGGATTTAGTTAGGAAGTAAGAAAAGAGAATAAACACCGAATAATCTTAAATTGATATTGATTTTATATGAAGGATGTATTACAAAAGTCAAATTACTATCCCCTATTTATACTAATTCTAGACTCCTAATCCCAATTAAATAAGGATTCAAATCATGAAATATAATGAAATAAGGAAACCAATCCTAAGAGATCATTTAAGATACTCTGAAATATTGTAAGATGCAATAAAGATAATATGACATATTTTCTAGATATTCTAACACTCCCCTTCAAGTTAAAGTTTACTAAGCTTTAAGCTTGTTACAATGAACTCTTTAAAATGGAAAAATAACCAACAATTTTATCTGGGCTCCACAAAATATGGCTGGAATGATCATTAGCTTGAAGACGTTGGAGATAAGCATCGTTGGCAAGGCAACTCAACAAGATGGCTAGAAGATCATTAGCCTGAAGAGCTAGTTGGGATATTGCATGACCAAGGAAGAAGAGACATTATTGGGATGGTCATCAACCAAAATTACCTGGCAAACAATCAACACATAGTAATAACCAAAACTTCTCCTTCAAGTTCATCAAGAAAAACATTTGGAAGCTTCAAAATGGAAAAAAATCTTAAGGAACCTATAAAACTTAGAAGCAAAATCTAGGATGGAATTGGGCTAAGGACAGACAGGGCCAAAGCATCTAGGACAAAGACGGGGCTAGGCTGCATCTTGGACAAAGGCATGGCTGGTGTGAGTCTCGTTTTCTCCCTCAATGTTGTGCTGGCACTGTAAAAGAGCTATACGGTAACCAAAACAATGTCAAACTAGAGATCACCTCAAAAAATGCAAAGAAATAACCCAAATATGTCAAACTTGACATAGAGAGAGAACATGTCACATCTGACCACTGAACAAAGAAAAGGAGGCTGGAAAGCTCGCCAAAAAATCACTGAGCAGCAGATGACTTAGCAGTGAGATGAACGAATGTAAGGATTCCAAAGAATATGGTGGTACAGAGAAACAACACTAACATTGGCGCAGTAGAAAGATAAAGAGAAGGTGGTAGAAGGAAAACACGTCAAGAGAGATGACTATTGTGCAGGAAGAAAGCAATTGTGGAAATAAAGAGGAGCTCCAAATTTTAGGGAACTTGGCAGCGGAATAGTAACGGGACAAGTCACGAAGGATGGTTTTCCTTTGATACCATGTTGAAATTACTCGGATTTGGGTAGAGAATGAAGAAAAGAGAGACAGAAAAAACTACTTCCCATTAAACCCCAACTAATGAGAGTGGGGTGAGGACAATCCTTGTGCACAACTTTATCCTTATATATTTGTAAAAAGGCTATTTTCTTGAAGGAAGAAAAGAGAGAATAAAGATAAATAATTTGAAGTTAATATTGATTTGATATGAAAGATGTGTTATAAAAAGACAAAGTAATAACCCTATTTATACTAATAGTAGACTCTTGATCCTAATTAAAAAAAGAAACAAATTGTGAATTATAAAGAAATACAGAAACCAATCCTTAGATCATCCAAGATACTATAAACTATTTTAAGATGTAATCATGATATTATGATGTATTATTATGAGATATATTCTATACATTCCAAAACACTTGTTAAATGTTTACCAAAAAAAAAAAAAAAACTTGTTAAATGTATTTGGTGGATGACTATATTTGGCATTTGTATTTATTCTTATGTTTAGAGCAGCCTCATGATTTGATAGTGTTAACTTTTTCTTTGTGTTAGCTCTGGGAACTTCTAATGACATAGTTGAAATGGGCATATCTTATTTATAGATAGGTTTCAAATTTAGGGTTATTTAGTTGTATTAGATACTGGTTTCAAGAATGATGGTACTGATAGATGGGTTGCGGTAGGTTCATGTGTGCTCATGCCTTATCCTTGAGTCATCCTGGTATTCGATGCCGATGTCTTGGTGCTTATGGAGATGCTGTTAGTGCAGTAAAATGGTACGATTTACGTTTTCCAATTTTTTTTCTTGATTATCATGTACTAATTCAGATATATCTGTATATATCACATTATACTTTTTTTAACAGGGCAAGTAGGCTTGGGAGAGAGCACCATGATGATTTAGCACAATTCATGCTAGGAATGGGCTATGCTACTGAAGCACTTCATTTGCCTGGAATTTCTAAGAGGTATGCTCTATGTTTATAGCCAAGAGCTAGCAATTTTAATTGACATTCGTATTATTTTCTTTTACTCCTTATGCCAAGGTATGGTTAGACCTAAAAACTAAACCATATTGTTGTTTACGTTCCGCAGGTTGGAGTTTGATTTGGCAATGAAGAGCAATGATTTGAAGAGAGCTCTTCAGTGTCTTCTTACCATGAGTAACAGCAGGGATATAGGACATGATAGTACTGGGCTTGGTTTAAATGACATTCTTAATTTAACAGAAAAAAAACAAGATACAGTTAAAAAACAAGATATAGTTGAAGGTGTTCAGGGTATTGTGAAATTTGCAAGAGAGTTCTTGGATCTTATTGACGCTGCAGATGCTACAGCACAGGGTGAAATTGCTCGTGAAGCTCTGAAGAGGTTAGCTGCAGCAGGTTCAGTGAAAGGTGCTTTACAAGGTCATGAGTTGAGAGGATTAGCATTACGCCTCGCAAATCATGGAGAGTTGACTCGGCTAAGTGTACGCAATCTTTCTTAATATTGCTTTTCCAATCCACTGATTTATGGCTTTTTAATGCATGTTGGTATAACAATCAAAGCTTTCATGTTAATTTATTTGATGCCTCTCTCTTTATAAATAAATTGCACGTTAATTCATTTGCTGCCTCTCTTTTTTACAAATAAATGTGATAATTAATTTTGTATTTCCATACTGATTATTTTAAGTGTAATGATGCTAAGATAACAGTTAGATATTGTAGACATAGTACTTATCTGTTTCTTCTACTAATATACTACATGCTAAGGAGTGATTTGAATATACCGAGGCCTTAATAGCGAGGATTTTGTATTCTCTGGTGGCAAATAGAATCATGTTAGATAATTGTTTTTTCTTATAGAAGTATGCACATATATAGAGGTTTATGATTACAGATTGGTGTTTAATGGAAAAAGAAACACTGATGATGTAACGTATGACCAATCAGAAACAAGGTGGGGAAGGTTAGGACAAAAAAAAAATATAGAAGGAACATCGTTTGTAGTCTTTTGACTAGGTGAACAGGGTATGAAATGAGTCTTTTCTCTGGCAATATTTTTTGTACTCTTTGGAAATTTAAAGCCAGATCCATTGTTCAGACTAAGATTTAGACTCAGTTTTATTCTTAGGAATCTATTGTTTGTATATTTGATAAATTGATGAGATCTACCACTACAAAATACATATCATTCGTGGTCTCCATTTTAACCATAGTTTTATATCACTGTAAGGTAAGTTTAGTATTCAATAACAACAAAGTTGGACTCTGATTATTTGTTGTACAGTTTGGAAATTGTAAATCTTTCCTTCTTCGACTAGCAGTCTTCCCCGGTAGATTGCTTTTGTTGCATTCAGTTCATTACAGTGAATGGACACTATGACCCATGCGCAAAATGGGATATGTCAGGATTGCGTATATTACTTTAGTTGTTACTCATTATACATCTGCTTTTAAAGCCATGATCATTTACCACTGTTAGTGCAAAGGTGGCACGTAATTTGAGGAAACGAAAGGACTAGTATTTATTTCTTTAATATTTTAAATTTTCCAATTTTTTATTGAACTTAAAACGCTCAATTTATATTAAAACGACTGTTTGAGACGGCAAAAATTCTTCTTTCTTTTAGCTCTTTAGTTTTAATATTTTGTTTCCCTCATAAACAAAGGATTACGTTGATGCACTGCAGGGTTTGGTAAACAACTTAGTTACGCTTGGCTTGGGACGGGAAGCTGCATTTGCTGCTGCTGTTTTGGGCGACAATGCTCTAATGGAGAAAGCATGGCAGGATACTGGAATGCTGGCAGAGGCTGTGCTTCATGCTCATGTATGGTTTGTTACATGCACAGCTAGTTGATCCCTTAATATAGTACTTTTAGTCTGACCTTGTTATTTCCAGGCACATGGACGTCCAACTTTGAAGAACTTGGTTCAGGCCTGGAACCAAATGCTACAAAGAGAGATTGAGCCTATTCCGTCACAGAAGACAGATGCTACAGCTGCTTTTCTTGCTTCTCTTGAGGAGCCTAAGCTTACGAGTTTGGCAGAAGCAGGGAAGAAACCGCCTATTGAAATACTACCTCCGGGAATGATGTCTCTTGATGCTCCTATCTCCATTCAGAAAAAACCAGCTTCTGCTGCTCAGAATTCTCAACAATCACCAGGCAAGCCATTGGCACTGGAAGCACCACCTCCTACAACCACAGCAGCGCCAGAGAGTGCTACAGAGCAGCCTGAATCCACGTCTGCACCAGTCAGTGAACCACAACCATCAGAGCCTACCTCAGACTCCACGCCAGATCCAGCGGCTGCTCCACCTCAACCAGAATCAGGTGAAACCACTGTAGATAATGAAGGTCCTACTCCTACCTCTGCGTCCGTAAATGACGGAGACCCAAATGTTAATGGGCAAACTGTTCAAGCAGAGTCTTCGAGCAATCCAGCTTCAGCTTCACGTGAGGTCCCATCACCAGTAGCAGAGGTTTCGGAAACTAATGTTCCAAGTCCAACTACAGTACCTGTGAGTGACCCCCTCATATGATTTGTATACCTACCACACTGCTGACATAAGCACTTGGAAAATGAATTTATTTACAATTCAAGTTTTATTTGCATTTGTAAAGAAATCATTTTCAAGATTAAGGAAATTCAGTGTACTAGTTTGTAAGTATAAACTCCAAAGGTACAATTGTACCGAGCAGCTTGTTTCCCCCCTTTTTTTTTCTTCTCAATTTTTGTAGACAATTGTACCGAGCTGAGGTGTGTTGTCTCATATTGTTGTGATTGTGACACAGTGACATATCCTGATGCATATAAGAGTAGTTTTCTTTTTTGCCTCTCCTTTTGAATTTTGGTTAGCAGAATTAGTGTTTTTTCTGTATTCAAAAATAAGTTGGTAGTCCATTTGGCATACCAGCACTTAACAAAATTTATGATAAAAACGGAGACAAAATGCTCACTTTTTTTTTTTTTTTTTCGGTGAGTAAAATTTTTCACTTTTAAAAAACAATAGATAATAACTAAAATCCAACTTTTAAAAGGACTAAAACCAAAGTTAATATATTTATAAGAATAAAAGCACATTTAAGTCTATCGTTTTTTTTTTACTCGCTTGTATTATCATGAGTTCATGACTGGTTTTTCTCCCTTTTTCCGGCTATTCATGTCGGGGTATCTGTCATCTAATTTTTTTTTTTTTTTAAGAATTAAAAGGATATTTTGGCTGATCAATGTTTCTGCCTTTGTTTGGATATCCTATTAAGCTCTATTTTGTTCACGAATACAATAAACTGGAAACGTTATTCTAGCTTATTTATTATATTAATTTGGTAGTTTTTTGTGTGGAATTTATGATTTGAATACTTTTACCATTATTAATAGTAAGATGAAATTAAAATATTATTTATCTAATTTGTAATCTTTATATTTCAGAACAATTTTATTTCTAATTTTTATATAAGAAATGATAGTATAAGCTTATACTATACGTTATGACATTTTCAATTGTTTGGTGTGATCATCGTATAATATAAGCTTATAGAGCAGGATCTCTTTATACATTAAAATGATGTATAACTTAATCAAGCCTAAGGAGGTACGATTAAGCCTGATAAGGGGTTAATGTATTAATGTTGCTTAAAAGTACAATTTCCAAGAACTAATATATTATTTCAATATTAATATATTAAAATAATTTTTTTAATATATTAATTTTTAAAATATTGGAGGATATTATCTTATACAATACCATATCAAACACATGATAGTATTAAAATTTAATCAGATCTTTTACAATTAGGTCTTATACTATCAGATCTTATACTATCAAATCTTATCTTATACTATGCACCAAACGTGCCCTAAGTTTCTTAATTCGTTATTGTAGGTGAAGTCAACATTTTGGGCCAAGGTTGGAGTCAGATCGATTTGAATTGGCATATAAACGTTTTCGGTCTGCTATTAAGTTCTCGATCCAACAATTATTTATATTTAAAACAATTTATATATTAAAATAACATATTAATTTATTTTTTATACACACATAAAAGTGTATGGGTCTATGTGAAAAGAAGAGGGAGAAAGAAAAATATGAGCCTCACACACTCTTATATGTGTAAAATAAATTATCTCATATAACATGAAAAATATTAATTTCTTAAAATAATTGTAAATAAATAGTTCGGTGCTTCTTGAGTTTAACCATATGAATATGAATAATCAAATTTTCTTTGTACTTTTTTTTTGAGAAAAAATATATTATAAATAGTTTATGATAATTATATAATTTTTCAAAAAATAAAATAAAAAAATGATTAAATAATTTTTTTCAGAAGTTAAAGAATAATTTGTAGTGGAAAAAAAAAATCAAAAAATATGTGGCAAAAACGCTTATCTAATTGCACCCTACATTAAAGCCGTAAGTATTGTATGAGAGGCAATTGCTCTAGGATTTCTTACCGTTTGGTACGCAGTATTCTTCAGGATTTCTGGGAAACTGAATTTTTCTAAAATTTTAATTTTCAGATATTATCGTAAATTGAATGTAAAAATCATATTTTTGAAAATCGAGATTCTCGGATAAATTTTTTTTTTCCTCAACCAAACGCTCCCTATATTGTTGAGAAAGTTATATTGACAATCTTATATTATCATGTTTGGTACATGGTCACCGAAAATTTTTCTTGGAAATCTTTCTTTCCTGGTATTCTCATTTATACAAAAATTTCTCATTTGAGATTACTATTGATAGTGTGGTATTTTACAAATCTCACGCCAAGAAAAAATCGAAACAGATTTGTGAGACAAAACTACCCTGCAACCCTAGGTTTGCTCCTTTGAGGAGTACTGTTGATTGGTTCTGAAAATCAGATTCTTTCGCTCCTTCGTGTGAAAATCATTATTTCTTGTGTTTGTTTTGGTTAACCATGAGCTGCTTCACACTCTTTGCTGAATCTCCATTTAATGAATGGCTTAACTTATGTGTGTGTGTGACTGTCGATAAAGCTGGTCTCTTTTGTTGTGTTCAAGTGTGAAGAAGTTGAGAGTGGGGCATAAAGATTCCAATTTTTTTTTTGAACTTTTGAAAATAAGATATTAGAGGGAATTTTATCAGAGCACCAACAACATCGGTTTTTTTTTTTTTGTTGTTGTGATTTTTAAGTTTTATGAGATTCCTAAAATCAAGGGAAAATCGAACTAGAGGCAACGTTTGAAGTGTTGAGAGAGATGTTGAAGAAAACCTAGGGTTGAAAAAAATTGTCTTGGAACGAAAATGGATATACCAAGATCACATATCTATGTGTAGAAAACCCTAGGTAGATCGTGCAAAATAATCTCATATTTTTAGTAATATTTCATAATCTACCAAATATAGAATCAATAATCTTTATTCGATATTTTCAATAATATTTTGATTTACCAAATACTCTTTTGGTTATATTTTCGAAAAACTCAATTTTTCATCATATTCCTAGAAATTATGATTCCAGACAAAAAAAAAATAAAATTTCATGTACTCAATTTTACATCCCTTTGCATATGAGCTGGAGTTCTACGTCATCCTTTGCATAGTGCTTTAGGTTGGGAATAAATATGAGATCATATAAAATAATCTCAGCCGCCGTTGATAGATACATTAATAATTATGTATAAATTAATAATTATAGAGAGCACCTTATGATAGATAGAGAAGTAAAGATTAGACTTGTTCATAAACAGAACCAGAACTAGAAAATCCATTCCGCTAGTGTCGTATGTGTCTAGTATTTTAGTTTCAAATATGGCCTTCTACCATTTGATCCATGAAACTTAAAGATGTGCATCAAAATATAATTCAATACACACTTTATTTTAAACGAACAAAATTGTGACGATTTTGTAGACAAAAGTCAAGAGTCTACCGAGGGCCAATACACGGAACTTTGAACGCCAAATGCATCTGATGATTCTATTAAATCTATTGACCACTATCAGAATAAAGTTATACATGATTCTTTGAGAGTCTGAGTATGTGTTTTAAGCAACAAGGAGTAGTTTAGTGATAAGAGATTTGGCTAATTTTTATAGATTATAGATTCAAACCTCACTAATATTATTGTATCCAAATAAAAAAGAATAAAAAAATAGCTGTTTTATTTCATTGAATAAATTTAAACTCTAGCTTCTTACATGTGGAAAGCAATTATTGAGCATAGCTAGTAAAACCAACGTACCAGCTGCAACTTATTATCATTATATCTTTTAGAAACTGCATATTATTATCAAAGATGTTTAACAAAATCTAATACGGGCTTGTGAACCTACCAATACTTTATCATTAGGCATAGGTTGCCCTGAATTTGCTTAAAACTTAAAGCGAAAATACAAAGAGTGCTTTCATGACAGCAAGCAATCGGCAATGACACCCGAATTCCTTTATATCACCTTAATAGAAATAGTTTAATAAACTTGAATACATTATAATATATCAGGGACATCAAAAGGAGAGTTCCTAGTCCACTAAAAGGAAGCGCAATCATCAACTTACTACTTAGTATGAAACTAGTTGACTAAACTTCTATTCTTGGCCCAAGGCAAGATCGTGCCAAGCATCCCCATTAACTTGCTGACTCTGCTGATCTGATCAATGGCAAAGCACAAGGTGCTAAAAGTCAAGAAGAAAACTAGAAAAACCCGCCAATAAAAGACCCATCTCGTTAACAATAATCATGTCAATGACTCAATATTGTATGTAAAGATGTTCAAAAACATGCTGTCTTTTCTCACAACCATGTTTTTAGTACACCAACTGTATATGTTAATGAACATATATGGAGTTATCTTTCAAAAAAACTAAATCAATATAAGTGTTAAGTTGAACAATGTTTTTATAAACTAAGCTGAAGAGAGAGATTATCAACATAATATCTGTGAATTAGTGAATGAAGAGACATACTTGAGTCCTCAGTATCATCTGTCCGAACAACCAGTGTTGGGGGCAGAGGAAGATCTGTAATAAAAGCAAGATAAAGAAAGGTACATCACATTCACACATGACATGGATATAAAGCTGAAAAAGACTTATGGGAGCACCCACCTACTGCTAATGCCTATCAATATTCAATGGAGAGGAAGGGAAGGAAATTAAAAATTAAAAACATACCATCTTGAGGGAGAGTGTCTCTCATCCATTCCTCATCAACAATATCAATTAGAATTCCCAAACTCACTTCTGCCATTTTTGACCTTTTTCCACCACACCCTATTTCCTATTGAGTGTTAACATAATAACCATCCGAATTGCAAAATAAATTAATTAAATAAAAAATGCCTAATTTATATGTACACATAGTCACATACACACATACAAAAAAGTGGAAGCTTTTTTTATGCAAAAATGCCTAATTTATATGTACACATACAAAAAAGCTTTTTATGCAATGCCTAATTTTTTAATTTCCTTCAACAGAATATCAACGTCGCCGGCGGCAAGCTTCTTGTCGGAGACACGAAGGGAAGCTTACTGGCGGCGAAGATGAACAAATCGGGTGTCGGCACTAACGATTTTAAAATATTGGAGAATCGGTGTGTTGAATGGGAAGAATGAATGAATGTAGAGAGTGAAAGAGTCGAAAAGAACATGAATTTGGAGAAAAAGAGAGAATCGAGCAAACCTGAGAGGATCAATTTGAGATTTCTGCCCTGCCAGTCAACTCAAAGTGAAGAGAAAAGAAAAGGGTTCAACTTATTAACGTTTTATACTGATTTCTTTTATTTTACCCACATTTTTTTTTATAATTGTGAAAAAAGAAGTGTATGCCATATTTTTTGGTATAGAAACGCATTCAATACATTAAACGTCACTGACATTTACTCTCTTTTTTCCCTCTCTTTTTTAAGTAGATCTATTTATTTTATTTTTTTGTATTATATGAGATAAATTATCTCATATTAATATGATAAACATATTCTCCGTCAATTAATTATTAATTATGAGGAAGGTTATATTTACAACCTATTTTCGTTTACAACATCTTACAAGCATATCTTAATAGCTGATTTTCATCAATTAACGATTATTATTTATTACGAATTAATAATTAATTAATGAATTTTACGACAATAATAACTTTTGATTAACAAAATCAACGATTAAAGTATGATGGTAAAAAAAAAAAAAAGTTGTAAGTGAAACACTCGTCATTAATTATTGTGAAAATTACAACTTACCAGTCATTTTCTTATATTCAAATTTTCTTACATTTTTAATACTGCAAGCAAGCAAAGGGAGAGATAAAAATGCCAAAATAATGTTCAGTACGTGGGATATTTTAAGGGATTAAATTTTGGATTTGATATTTCTTGTAGAATATAAAGTTATTTTCTACATATACATTACATAAAAATATATGAAATTCATGTCTGTTACATGAAGAGAATAAAGAGAAAAATAAATATGAGTCACACACATTTTTACATGTATAGGAAATAATTTTATATCCTATAATATAAGAGACAATATACCGTTAAACTTATCTAAAAGATAGTTATTTTATGTAACTTCAAAACGACATGTTTTGATATTTGAAAAAAATAATATAATATATTTTATTAAAATTTATTATACTAAAGAAAATAAATTTTTAAAACATTCTATTTTTTTTTAAAATTCCAAAACGATATTTTTTTTTTTTAGGGTTGCAAGAGCATTTTTTTCCATTTTTTAATTACGCACTTGAGAGCTATTAGTCTTTACGAATTTTGTTACTTTTTATAGAATGAATTTGAGTTGATGGCGAAGTTCGATAAATTGACACAAAAGGAAAAACACAACTGTCAAATAAAATTTAAATTTCCTTCAGTTTTCCCTTTTATTAATTTACAGTCACTTTAAAAACATTTTGTGAACATTCTCAAACATAAAACTTATTATTTCACAGTAAGAGAGATTATATTTATAATTTTTTCTCTTATAATCTCATGTAACTACTTTTTTGTATCAAAATCAAATCAAGGGCTCTTATTATTTTATAACTGTTAATCTGATTTTAATTCAACAATTATAAAAGTGGTTGTAAGAGAAAAAAAAAAAAAATTGTACGTATAATCTCTCTCTTTCACAATTGCATTTTTCAAAGTATATTTTCCCATAAGTAATTTCAACTAATTACCCGAGCGATATTCTAGAATATAGATAACAGACTTCTGCATTAAAAGATAAAAGCCTACATAACATTGAACAATTTCGGAATTTAGATAATCGGGGTTTAAAAAACAGTGAAATAGCCATTCAAAATATGTTGTCAACTGCAGTCACAAGTCCATTCAGTGCTACACCTGGATTAAATTTACAACGTGCTACCGATCCCGAGGGATAACCACCTACTAGACCAAGTAATACTCATTGAAATGCTGCTCTTGAAAAAATGGCACACAGTATCTGGTTGCACTCATGATGCAGTCCTTGTAATTGAACTACAATGCTAGCCCTCCAGTTAGACTTGTCATACATTTCTGGAGGAGTAAAGCTGATGGTTTCAAAACTTTTTGAGCATTGATAGGAGTCTAGTTGTCTGAACTCAATTCTCTGTTATTTGTTCCCATCCATCTTGAAGTTTGTGAATGAAAGAATCACAATTTACAAGCATAAAAAGAATAGGCTTATAACTGAATTTGCTCTACCAGCATATATGCTGATGCTGTCGATATCATCCTAAAAAAAAATCATGATTTGAAAAGGAGAGAAAAATTGACAGGCTTATCTTAGTCCACTTCTGAACTAAACTCCCTGGCCTTTCTCAAATTTTTATTGAGCACCAATTTCTTCAACCTTTCAGCCTCTTCCAACTTTTCACCCATAACATACAAATCGGAAATAAGGCTATAAATTCCACCATCTTTTTCTGGTTTTGCCATCCTCAGGACCTGCTGAATCACCCTCTCAGCCATCTCAAATTGCCTGTGCTCCTTACAAGCCGACAAGAAGGAACCCAAGACAACAACATTTGGTTCCTGTTTCATTGATTTGATAATCTCATAAGCTTCTTCTAGCATCCCAGCTTTCCCAATCAAATAAACCAAGCATGCATAATGTTGAATTCTTGCCTCCATGCCATTGTCTTCAATCATCTTGAAATACCTGCGTCCCTCCTCTACCAACCCAGCGTGAGCACAAGCAGTGAGTACCCCCGTGAAAGTCAGTTCATTGGGTTTGACTCCAGCTATCTGCATTTTGTCAAACACAACAAGTGCTTCTTCATTGAAGCCATATTGGGCAGCACCACAAATCAGTGCCGTCCAAGAAATGACATCTCTTTCAGCCATCAACTCAAAAATCATTGCAGCATTTCTCAAAACTCCTGATTTAGCATACATGATGACTAGAGCCGCACCTAACTCCACATTCAACTCCCACCCATTTTTCACGATGAAGCCATGAACTGATTTTCCAGCCAACAATCCAAGAGACCCCATGTTGGCACATGCTGATAAAACCGAACCAGCAGTTACTTGGTCTGGTCTCGTTCCCTCATCCAACAACATTCGCCGAAAAAGGGACAAACCCTGATCGTAACTTGAAACATTGTTATAAGCAGAAATCATAGAAGCCCACGATGCGATGTCTCTATGGGGCATTTCCTCAAAAATAGCACGCGCTCTTTGGATATCCCCTGACCTTGAATATCCCACAATCATGGCGTTCCCCGTGACAGTGTTCCTGTGGGGCATTTCGTCGAACAGGACACAGGCATCCAGAAAAGAGAGCCAAACGTAGGCATTGAGAAGAGAAGTTGCAACGTAAACATGAGAGGTGAAGCCTAGTTTGATGATGTGGGCATGGAGGTTTCGAATGATGGCCAAGCTACGCAAATGGGTACACGATTTTAAGGTGAAGACAATGCAGAAGCTATCGAAGGGAGCTCCGTTGCGATGCATTTTAGAGTAGAGATGGATGGCTTTCCGAGGAGAAGACACATTCCTTAAAGCTAAAGCCCATGAATTGAACCTTCTCACATAAGACAACACTGCACGGTTCATAGGTTTCCCTCTGCTAACCTTGATTTCAAAATAAAAAGAACTTTAATAATGTGATAATGGTAGTAATTGAAAGAAAAATAACTTGTATATGAAGAATACATGAGGACTAGATGAATGTAAAATAAATTTGTTTATATCCACTCCACGCCATTCATTGCCTTTAGTCATTTTCTCAATCCCCCAGGCTTCAATGAATTCCCAAAACATACGTGACGAACCATCTGCGTATTCAATCTTGCCACTTTTCTTAAAAAATGTCACTCACTTCACTACGAATGATGATTTTACGAATCTTTATGAATGCAGACGCGGTTAAAGTGAGGAATAGTCATATATATGCAATGAATGACTCTATGACACTTCCATTCGTAACTTTCTTTCGCAACACATTAAAGGGGTGTATTTTTGATTGAGATTTCAAAGATTTTAATGGATTATTTTTGGATAAATTTTTTTTTTTTATATTCAATTAGGATTTTAATAAATTGAAAAAAAGTCACGTGAAGATTAAGATTTTAAAAAAATATTTTTAAAGTTCGTCTAAATATATAATGGTATTCAATTAAGATTTTAAACAATGGAAAACAATCTTGCAGTATTCCAAAATTTAACGATTTTTATAGATTTTCTATTGATGTGAATTTCGTGAGAGTTTTTAGTAAGAAACATAATTAGGATGTCTCTCTCACAATTTCACCCTAACCTCTAAGATTTTTTCTTGAGATTTTTCTATTACAGTATTTTCTTTTTTAACCCGCTCGAAATTGGATTCCGCTATGGGAGCTTCGTCAAAACTCAAAAATAGCATATGTTTGAGCGATCTTAATCACAAAATAACCCAGAAACAAAAATGTGATTTTTGAGCCATTTTTTGAGAAATTTGAAAGTTTAAAATGTGATTTTTCAAGTCATGGGTCGTGATTTTTCTTAGCACAAAAATGTGTGATTTTTGTATTAAAAACAACATAAAACAGTGGAAAAATAATAGGGGAACTAAAACCCTCAAATCAATTTTTGTTTTACATTAATGAAACAATATCAGTTTAAAGAAAGATTGAAATTTTCATAATATGAATCATATATTTCGTAACAATACATTTATGAACGAAATTCCTTCAGTATAGAAAATGATTTCAAACAATTTTTGTGCCAAAAGATAACTAAAAACTTGTTTTTCGAAAGCCCTAATGCAATTTAAGGTTTCAATGTATCGATTGAAAAAAATTTGAGAAATTTTCTAAACTTTCATGTAATAACACCCAAAAATTCAGATTCGAAATTTTCTTGGAATATCCAATGAAAATATGCATATGATATATGGTTAGAAAACTCTCAATATGTAGAACAAAACCCCCAAGGTTTTCAAGATCAATTCCAAAAAATTTCAAACAAATTTTATCATGAACTCTAGGTTCTATATGCAAATTTAGAATTATTTTAATAATTAAAAAAATTGGGTCTTCATATATGTATAACTTTGATACCAAACGAAGAAGATAATTTTCAACCCATTAGTCAAACCTATAGGCAGAAACGAGAAAATGCTAATGCATGAAGGACTAGTATAACTTTAGATATGTGAAAAGATGTTGCTTAGTAATTTTGAGTGTTTGTTAAAAATTATATTATGTTTTAGAGAAAAATATATTAGGATTTACTTTTTTTTTATTAATTTCATTGTATTTCTTTGTTATTTTTTATTGACTCTTGTAATTTTGAATGTTTATTAAAAATTCATATGATTTTTTAAAATCTTATAAATCCATATTGTCCTTTCAAATCTTGTAAATTCTATTAAAATCCTTTAAAATCAAATCTTATGAAATCTTGATCGTAAAAAAAGTTTTTTAAAAAAGTTTTTAAAGTTCCTCCATTTCTAAATAGTCTTTTAAAATCTATAAAAAAAATTATCTCAAAAAAACTTTTAAAATCTTAATCCAATACGCTTCCTTAATAAACTCAATACGCTTCCTCCAATGAGAGCATGTGTTCGAATCTCCCCAGTACCACCTTTGAGAGGGGTTTAAAGCCTTAATCTTGGACCCGCCCCGAATCGGATTAGTTGCGAAGCAATGAACCGATTGGAATATTTCAAAAAAAAAAAAAAGAATGGCACAGCTATATGAAATTGTGCCTTGTCATTTCATCCAAGTTCCTTCCATTCGCAAATATTTTTCAACTAAATTATCGACGCCAACATCATTAAAGACAAAAATGTTAAACTTTATCACGTCCTAGCTGAAGTCAAGGTTGGCGCAGAATGCTATTTCGCAGCACTAATAAAAAATATTCACGAGGACTAGTTCCACAACCGGAGTCTAATACAAGCCACGATCAACTCAGATTTTAACTTTAGTACGAGCCCGACATATTTATGTTAAAATTTCAGATTACGTGGTCTTAAAAAAATTTTGTTTATCTTTTTTTGTTTTTTGTTTTTAAAAGATAATAAAAAAGAAGATGAAGATGGAATCCATTTAAAATTAATAAAGAAAAAGATAAACACAACTTTTACAATTTTAACATAATAGGATTCATTGTAGGAGAAGAAACTTTTGGAGGAAACAACATACATCATCATAAGAACTCTCTGCACATGGAAGATTCTAAGTATCTTCTGCATAAACCTTTGGCATTTCATTTTTCATTCATTTAAAGGTATTCCTGTCTGTTTCTAAACCATACAGTTCAAAAAGATCTTAAAATAACATTGTTAAGTATACAGGACCTTAAAATCCCCCCCAAGAAAAGAAGATACAAATCCATACCGTTAGCTATTCTTGTCAGATACCACTGCCCAAAACAAATACTAAATTTTACATCAAGACTAATGAAAACGAGGACAAAAAACGGAGACCCCTACGGAGATTACGTCAACCCGTGAGATGCAAATTAATATCGACTCTGATTCTTTCCGAAAGCAGCTTCCAATTTTCCTGAACCCATTAGGCCAACAACAATGACACCAGTTCACGTATTGGAACAAAGCGGCACCCAAAATAAATATGTGGGAACTAAAAGCCTCGCTTATTTGGACAATCCGATGCTCGATGCCCAGATTCCCCACAAACAAAACAGGACCCGCCAAAACTTCTGCAATGTACATTCAGATGCCATATCAGTTACATATAGATTTAATATCACGCATATGATATGAGGCTTACTATAACTTGAATAGGAAGAAAATTGCCAGACAAAAGTAGAAGCACGTATTATTATAAGTTGTATACTATAACCTGTCTGACGATGAAGACCTGCTTGGTCGTCTACCTCCTATTAGCCAATCATCGCCACTGCTTTTTCCAGCTCGAGACCAGCTGTTGCCAGTTCTAACATTTCTACCACCTCTCTTAAACGGATCACCAAACTCATCATCGGAGTCTCGGCCCCCATCCCATCCCCGTGAGGTCTTAAAGCCTCTTCGATCCCTAGAACCTGTACCTCTTCGGTTACTTCGATCTCTGTCAGAAAACTTCCCATAGAAATCACCTGGAGGTCCATCATCTTGCAGAGCAGGTAACTGCCAATACAAAATAACATACGCAATGCGTTTATATAATCAGTAATGTAATAAATTGGTACCAAAATATGATGATTTGCCTGGGGAAGAAAACAGGCAGAGACACACAATCCACAAAAAATTACAAAACAAAATATTAACCCAGCATTGTAATTTACCTTGGTGATCTTGGAAATAGTGTTTCCAGGTGGTATTTCCTTGTTAAGCAACTCTTTAGCAATGTCCTCTGGAAGATCAAAAACGGCTCCTTGAACCTGAAATTAGGTATTGGCAACGTCAAACAATTTGAACAGTGTGGGTGCATTCCAAATAGGACAGAAGTTCCAAACAATACAAGCACAAAAAAGAATTATAGAATATATCTCAGATACAAACCCTTTCATCCGCAATTAAATGTATTTTTCCAACTTCATCAGCAGCTGCAGAATAAACATCAGAAAGAAACCCAGTGACTGATCTTGCTGAAAAAAATCTTTTAGAATTATCATCTCGGGTCAGTTGCAACGTAACCCATCCCTGCAATACCAAACAGTTTTAATGAGCTAACCAGATAAAAAAAGGGTACAAAAAACAGCATACATACGTAAGATAAACTGGATAATTTCAATTGGAAATATAAAATTCCCAATACCTGTTCATGGCTGATAAGAGACCGGGAGGACGGAGGTTGGGAGAATCCACTCAGCTGAGCTAGTGCAGCTGCAAGGGCACTTGTTCCTTGTTCTTCAATCAGTTTTTGTGCAGTTGGGGTGAAAAACGCAACAGACTCAGGATGAACTCCCTTAAGTGTGGCAACAACTTGCTCAGCAGATGACTCCAAAATCTCTTCCATAGCTGGCGCGCTAACAAATTCAAATTTGGAGCCAACATCACGCTCAAGGGATCTAACTGTTCTCCTCTGGCTACTGGTGTACATCACAATGGCAGTGCCTTCTTTTCCTGCACGCCCAGTACGACCAGAGCGATGTACGAAAGTCTCAGGATCATTGGGAAGCTCATAATGGATAATCTGAAGGAAAGAGGAAAGAGCAACAAGCTTTTCAATATGTTGAGAACAGACAGCATTCTAGTATCAGACGAAGGCATAAATAAGAACCTTCTAATTCAAATATAGATCTTAAACTTCACTGGTGGTAAACAGATTCGATATTGGGAAGAAATAATTAAACAATAAAATTAAAATGAGCATATATTTATATGCACTGTTTACATATTATATGAAACATACAATTCTAACTCTCAGGTAAGAAGGGACAGTGTACAGGGAAAAAGATTGAAGAAAAGGTCAGATATAGTGGAAAACTGGAAATAATCTCCTTAATAAAACAGGCTTTGAACTTACCAAATCAACATTGGGAATATCAAGTCCACGGGCTGCAACATCCGTGGCAACAAGCACCGTGAATTTTCCTTGCCTGAAACCATTCAATGTTCTCTCTCTCTGATGCTGGGATATATCACCATGCAGTGCTTCAGAAGTTATACTATTTGTTAATACCAATGATACTTCATCAGCATCTCTTTTTGTCTGCGTAAAAACTATAGTCTTCCCACCCTTTGCATAAACCTGAAAAACATAGTAACATTTAGTGAAATTATTGAACCCCCCCCCCCCCCCCCTCTTTTTTTTCTTTCAAGAATACCTTAAAGCAAACAGTGCAATGACCATAACAGGAAATAATAGCTTCTAATACATCAGAAATAGAGAGTTAACTGATTTAATACATATTAAATTTTCAACAGAGAGTGAGTTATAGAAGAACACACTGCCCTAAGTTTGTGTCCAGGTAAGCATGTGCAGGCAGGCATGTGTATGCCAAATCCAAAAGTTCTTACTAGAAGTTTACTTAAGAATGCATTTGGTAATTTTTAAAAGTAAACACAACATGGAAATGATGGATTTGTTAACATGAGTCAGCAAAAATACATTAGAAAATTTGTGTGACTAAGCACATAATACAATAAACAGTAACATTGTATCTTATTTGATATAATTTTTTATTACCTAGTCCTAAACTAGTAAAGTACTAACAGTATTATTGTTCAGTGTAATGACTAAACAGAACCCTCAGACTGCAAACTGCATAGATTACAGAACATCAAGTAAAGATAGAAAAATTTAACAACTGGCAACTTACGGTTATAAGATCAGAAAGAATTGTCCTCTTTGAAGTGGCAGTGGCTGATATAGCATAAAGTTTTATCCCTTCAGCAAGCTTTTCTTCTTCATCACCAACCTTTATAAAAGAGAAAGGGAAAGCTTCAATGTGATTTTTTTTTTTTGGGATTAAAAATGCATCATAATTACAATTCAATTTTCATTCTACAATAATTTATACATTAGTATGCACAACTATGGCCTGAATTGTTTCATGAAATGGATGTGAAATTTACAAGTAATTAAGGCAATGTTAGGTAGAAAGAGAAAGTATTGAAGAGAAAAAAAGCAAAAGCACCTAGAGCATGATGTAGTCCAAATACATAAATGTTTCCTTTCTTTTCTCTCCAAATCCGTTGTACAAAACATAGCATAGGATACATCCAAACAGTCACATCACTAATGTTAATTATATTATTAAGAACAGAAGTGTATGTTTGCATGAACACTTTAAAACTAGCTTTTTACCCAGACAAAGAATGCCACCCATATTCAGTCAGTGAGTCATACAGTACTGCATTGTTAGAATATCAAATTTGGCAAGGCATGCAAGGACAAAAGCATAAAGCGTTTCAAAGTGCATATAATTCCCAAATTTCAATAAAATTTACATAAGCAAGCCTCGAATTTTCCGGTAGACTATATCTAAGTCAGTCTATAATCAACACTGATTGAGAATTCAATTTGTAAATATTAAATGGATGTAACATGTACTTGGGTATTCAATGCATCTATTCTCTTTGAACAATATTTGACACCTTTTTCTAAAAGTTTTCTGCACATATTCCTCTAGCATGAGCAAAGGCAGGGCTGACACTGTTTTATAGCTGCTCTTTTGGCCATTATCCATTATATCAAACAATGCATGTTTCATTCAAACCAAGATGAACATGTTGCCCAACTAATTTGTCACATTTAGATTTAGCTATATGAGCATCCAAACCATGCTCTAGTAAAGATCAAAGTCAACTCTGGAACAGTATTACATGATGGCTTTTATGATTGACATCCAACCAGGTCACGCAGAACAACACAAACAGCATATGCAGATATATTAGCCAAAAACACATGCATATATAATGTTCTACGTAAAACATTTCCTTGTAGAGAGAACACTGCCGAAGAATTATCTACGATAATGTATGCATGAACTCTATAAACAAACAACTTATCAGCTGACTATATTCTGTATAGTTAGAGAAGCAAAACCAAAAAGTAACAAAAAATTACCAAATCAATTGTCAACGGATTGTCCAAATTTTTTCTTGCCAATTTCTTCACCCAAGCCGGCATGGTTGCAGAAAAAAGCATGCTCTGCCTCTTAGGTGGGAGCTTATCTAAAATTATTTCCACATCCTCCTCAAACCCAACAGCAAGCATCTGATCAGCTTCATCGAGGACCAAATACTGAACCTCATTCAGTCTAAGGCTGTTCCCATTTATAAGGTCAATTATTCTACCAGGAGTTCCAACCACTACATCAACGCCACGTGTAAGAGCACTTTGCTGGGTAACATAAGAAACGCCCCCATAAACACAAACTGTGTTTAGATAAGGCGCAGATTCTTTAATCTCTTTGTCCACTTGCTTTGCTAACTCCCTGGTAGGTGCAAGCACCAATGCTCTAGGAAGACGACCAGACCGCCTGCAAATAAAGAAACAAGTGCATGAGCATGATATAAAGTACATATCAAGCATACCTGAAATTAATAGGATGGTGTTGCACATGAATGATGATTACCTGAGAGGACTTGCATGCTCATCTTCACTGAGACCTTTTAGAATTGGAATCCCAAATGCTAGTGTCTTCCCAGTTCCAGTCTTTGCCCGAGCAATGATATCTCTACCTTCTAGTGCAGGTACTAACACGGCTCTCTAATCATAGAAAAACAAGGACGTTAAATTTGATGTTGAAACAACACAAGCAAAGGAGATAGGTTTTCGCATACAAAAAAGAGACAAGCATTTCACATTTCACCCGGAACCATATGCAGAATATACACAATTATGATTCTGTTATTGCTTCTGATTCTGTTACAAAAGTCAGTTAAGCTTCTGATTCTGTTACATAAGTCAGTTACGTTTCAGTTAGTTGTTAACTTGTACCACTCACGAGCTCAAGAGTTCAGTTATTTATTCAATGAAATTCATGATTCGTAACTCAGCATGCAGAAACTTGATGATATAGGGCAATGGTAAGCTGTGATATTTGCAACTTGATCACGTTGAAGCAAATAATAATATTTGGAATAAGTTCGCCCTAGCTAGCAAACAACAAAGGAAATAAAACAAACAAAAAATAGACCTGGATGGGGAAAAGATGGGTAATCCCACGGTTGCGGAGTGAATCGACAAGGCGGGAGGGCAAACCGAGCTTGGAAATGTCGAGTTCATCGGGGTTAGGAGAAGAAGCGTCGGTTTCAGAGGAAAAGCCAAAGTCGTCGTCGTTTTGGGCATCGTCGTCGTCGTCGAAGCCACGACCTATACCTTTAAAAGCTTCTTCGCTGAGGAGAGAAGAATTAGGGGTGGCAATGGCGGAAGGAACAAAAGTGAGTGTGGGCTTAAACCCAAAGTGACGGTGAGCTCTGAGGAGGTTGTTGAAGTGTGACTTGGAGTCTAGAAATTGCAACCTGACGGATGAAGTAGACCTCTTGTATAGTTCCACAGAGGGAGTGGGAGTTTGATATATGGAGGAAACACCTACGATAGAAGTAGAAGCCATTTTTCCCTCAAAGGAGAGGAGTGAGTGAAAACGGCGAAGAGATAGGGGTTTAAGAGAAAACGATGATAAGGCCACGCCACAGAGCTGTTTGGAGAATGTGTGGCCTTTCCAACCTCCACCTCGCTCCCTCACTCACTCACTCAAAGGATATATATATATATATATATATATATATTTCAAAAAAAAAAAAGAGAGGATAAAACTCATTTCATCACTATAAATTTTTCTCTCAAATTTTTTTTAAAAAAAAAAAAAAAACTTCCAATTTTATCTTCATAATTTGTTGACATGACATATTATGTCTTAATAATTTATGTGGAGGGACTTTTAATTAAAATAGTCTGATATTTTATCACCAAAAAAAATAAAAAATAGTCTGATATTTAATCAAAGACAGAAAAACAACTTTAACGTTAGATATTTACATTTTAAAATCACAACTCATCGTCTAAGAAAATTGCTAATTTGCTATGCTTTAATTTATAATTTATATTAAAAAATATATGATATTTTTGACTAAGCATATAAAAAGTAACGTTCATTCGAGTTATAAATTTGAGCATGATGTATGACTTGGTTTATTAAACTTAAAATTAATTTGATATTTGTTCATTAAACAAATAAATTATAATTTGGAGTAAATCAATTTTAAATTAAAAAACTAACTTACTTTCTTCAACAAAATAAATTTCACTATATTTCACATTAGCCAACTTGGAGTTTTTCCTTTTTTTTTTTTTTTTAGCCATCGAGTAAGAGTTAGATGCGTTGTTTGGTTGAGTAGGCCCAACCAGATAAAAGATGGTTCTATAAGCATACAGTCCGACCCACTATTTTTGTTATGCTAAATGGAACAACCTAATTTAGGCTATGATGTGATCTTTATACGGGCTAGGTCACACTCTCTAAACAAAAAATAGTTTCCGTACCAGTTTTCATCATCAACATGCAGCCCAATCGATGTTTTCGACATGCATATCAAATAATAGGAATAAATTTAGGATTTAATGTTATATTATAGAAGATAAAATTATTTATCACATATAAATAAAAAATTATAGATTTTATGTGAGACCCTGTAAAGAGGAGTAGAGAGAGAAAAAAAAAATATGAGTCTTATACTATTTTATATATGTATAGGAAATAACTTTTATATATGTATAAGAAATAAAATTATCTCCTACAACATGAGAGATATTAAATCCATAAATTTATTCAACTATAGGAATTCTTACCAACACCTATCATGTTATATTGTTATGTATAATTGTCAAATAGGGTATTAGAATTGCGATATGCCTCTTACAAAAAAGGGGGTCGGCCAACTGGCCAAGAAGATCAAACTGTCATGTTTGATTAACTTAATTTTTATTTATAAGAATGATTATTGTCATATTTGTTAATTTCCTAACCAAAATATTTTCTTTTTGAATGAGTGTGATCGTTGAATATGGGGGACCTTATTCTAATTATTAGTTACTAGGACTAGGAGTAGTGGCTAAACTTACTCACCATCGTCAATCAACAATGGTAGAAAGTGCTGAAGTTATCAACCACACTATCAATCATCGTCATTGATAAAATGTGATCAACGGCAACTATTAAAGCCACTTTTAACCATGGATTATGACTTAAGGTGGTATTTTGAAAAATGTGGGTCAAATTAAGTCGTCAACAACCATCAATCATCGGCATATGTTGAAGGCGGCGAGCGGTAACGGTTGAAGTCACGGACCATTGTCGGTCACTCGCAACGAAGAGTAACCGTATTTTAATAACTGGCAGCGTTGGACACTGGATGGGGATGATTAGTAATCACGCTGGTAATGATGCAATAGTGTCTGCTTAATAACATGCCAATAGCATTAGTAAACAATTATACTTAATTTTTTAAGAGAAAATATCAACGATATTTTTAAAGATATGATTAAAAATTTACGCAATATAAAAAAATAAAAAATGCTTGTTTCACTTTATTTTCTATATATTATATAGGGTAAAGAATTTTTCCGGTCAACAGAGATAAGTTATCTCTAGTGAACTCAAAACGATCTCGTTCTAGGACGAAAATCAAAGTGTTTTTGTAATTATAATATATTACAGGGTTATATTAGTCTTTATAATTATAATTTTTTAATCTTATAACCTCAAAACGACGTCGTTTTGAACTCACTGAAAATAACTTTATCTCCGGTGACCGGAGAAATACTTTTCCTTGTTATATATTAAGTAAATTGTTAAATTAAATTTTGAAAAAACATAACATTATATTAAATTTTGAAAAAATATAAATTTTCAACATAAGTTTCTAAATGTACATTCTGTTGGTGAAAATCTTGGTTTGATAATTTTATGCTTTGTCAATAATTAATTTAAACGCTATATAACATTTAAGCAAAAAAAGAAAAATAAAAAAAAGAAATACAAGAGACGCTTTACGAACAAAATTGAAGGGTTAGCGGTTTGTTATTTTGTTACAGCATATAAGAACGCTGTAATGAGAATTACGTGGAAGTTGCGACACACGGTGGCGCGTTGGTTTACCAAAAGTAAAAGCGTCGCTAAGTCATTATTAATTTTCAATTTTGATGCATTCACATTCATTGTTCGCAGTGTGCCCCAAATTTTCAATTTTCTTTCTTCCATAGCAAAGCCAACCGTCGCCGTTATTGGTGCCAGTGAAGCATTCATCTTCGCTTTAATCCATCAAAATTCAACCTATCGGATCTGCTTCCCATTTTTCCAATAATCAATCTCCGATTCTGGGTTCTGGCTAGGGTTTACGCTTTGTGCTGATTTGAGGTACGTATCATCATTCTCTATGCGAATGGCTTTGTTAATCGTTGCTGACCATGCTGTTATCGCGTGAAGGGATCGGAGCTTGCCCAGAATGGGAGTACTGGTTCCGGTTTTCCTCTACATCGTCGCTTTCTTTTGCACCATTGGAGCTATCGCTTTGGCTGTTCTCCACATTTATAGGCACCTTCTCAATTATACTGAACCTACTTATCAGCGTTTCATTGTTCGCATCATTTTTATGGTCCCGGTGAGTGCTTCCTTTCATGAGAATCACTCTTTCTGTAACATTTCTTTTTATGATTCATCTTAAAACAATTATAAATTTAATTTTCTTTGACAGGTTTATGCGCTAATGTCATTCTTGTCCCTTGTTGTGCCTGAGTGTTCAATCTATTTTGATTCTATTCGGGAAGTGTAAGTTCTTTTGCGTTTCTCTATTTATCATTTCATTTCGGTTGTTGCTGATATTTAGTTTGAATACTTTTTTGTTTGTTTGTTTGTTTTTGTTCATTCCTCTTTCCTGGTTCACATATGTTTAGAATTTGGGTGATTAAATGATGACCAGTGATATATGGGTGTATGAATTATATGTTGTTATTCCACACAAATCGTGTCTCAATGAAGACTCAAAAGTAGTTCTGGGCGTCTTGCTGTTTAGAAACCCCTTGAAGTTGCTGTATTGAACTCTCTGACCTGGTAACCTACTAAACTATTCTAGATAGAGTCCAATTTCCTAGTGTAAAGAAATTTGTCCTTGGGAGCATATTAGGAGACATGTCATTGGTAGATTTTTTACCTTGTTAGCCAATAACTGCAAATCAATGCTTAAGAAAAGTAATATTCGTCCATTGATTATGTGACTGAGGTGGTGTACACGATTGCTGCTGCTGCTGCAGTAGCAGTGCTTAGATATGCAGTCTGCAGTCACGAGTGGAAAGGCAAACCCCCCCCCCCCCCCTTTTTTCTTTCTTATTTAGTGTGATTTCATTCTCTTGTACCTTCTTTAGTTCAGCTAACGTTTAGTTCTGTAATCCGAGTTCACCCTTCAAATTATTGTTGTCTGTTCTAAAATTATAATGAATTTTGCATATCTATGTGCATTAGCTAGGTGCAATTTGTTAATTATTCTCTCTTGTCCACTGTTTCAGCTATGAATCTTGGGTCATTTATAATTTCCTGTCACTGTGTCTGGCATGGGTCGGTGGTCCTGGAGCAGTTGTGATAAGTTTGAGCGGTCGGGTTATGAAGCCGTCAATGTGTCTGATGACTTGTTGCTTTCCTCCCATACCACTGGACGGGTGGGTTTGTATCCGATTCATATTTTTTTATTAAAAGCTTTTGTGCCTGAAATTAGTCATTTATTCCTTGAAAACTGATCCTTGGATTTTCTCTGGAGGTTTTTTGAACTACCCTTTTTTGTAAACTGTATTTGGCAAACAAAATGGAAATATGTTTTTATAGATTATTGGAAAATGATCTAGACATCCCAGAGAAGGAAGGAATTTTGATACAGTCTTGTAACATGCAGCATGATCATTATATCATAATTTATGCTCATCTCTGACTTCTGAAACTTCTATTGCAGGCGTTTCATACGTAAATGCAAGCAAGGGTGTTTGCAGTTTGTTATTTTGAAACCCATTTTAGTTGTCGTCACACTTATACTTTATGCAAAGGGGAAATATAAGGACGGGAATTTCAGTCCAAAGCAGTCGTACTTGTATCTTACGATCATTTATACGTTCTCATATACAATGGCTCTCTATGCTCTTGCTTTGTTTTATGTGGCATGCAAGGATCTGCTTCAGCCATTCAATCCAGTCCCAAAGTTTATTATAATAAAATCAGTTGTATTCCTGACTTATTGGCAGGTAATTGTCATACCTCTTTCATTTTTATGGTCGATTATTTTCTCATGTTTTCAATTCTATCGTGTTACCTGTTGTATTGTAATGCAGGAAGAACAGAAAAAAGAGTAGTTTTTTTTTGGGTACATAAAGAGTGGCAATTATACTTCTATTTTTTGTGACCATGAGAAAGGATGTGAATGTTACATAAAATGAAAACTACTTTTTAATGAGGAGACCTTATTTGATCTTAAGATGATCAGTTATGTGTTTTGAGCGAAAAAATTTATCCTCCCCCTCCTGAAAAAGTGAAAATAACATTTTTTTTGTCTCAAAATTCTGGGATTTAATAATCTTTTCTTGTTGAACAGACGCTGTATATATCCTGATTTTATAATACATATCCCAGCAGTTAGATTGTCTGTCTTAGTTTTTGATACAATACCTCCACCTTATAAGAAATTCAATTCAAGCTGAGTCAGCAACCAGGCAATTAGAACTTAGAAGGGAATATTCTCAATAATGACATGGGCAATTCAGTTAGAGGAGAGAGAGAAAGGATTGCTGACGTTGTAGTTAGTTGAGAAGGCTATGTATACGTGAAGGAGGGAAATGGAAGGGGAATCAGGAAATTGGGACACACTTGGGCTGGGAAACCAGATTTGGGAGAGACCTCTGAAGCCTCTCAAATTGCTCCAGAAACCTATCTTTACTTTCTTGCATTTTTACCATTTTAGTATTTTTTTCTGTTTTACACCATAACTTGTATTGTTGTCGCTGAATTACCAACCATAGTCAATACACAGCTTCATTTTTCCATCCAAATCTTTTTATTATATTCTGGTTCCTATCAGTTTTCTTCACCAACACTAACATAGTTAGTTTGGAGATGACTCTATGTTAGTATGGTGTTGCTTGGTTCTACTGTATTTACTTTTTAATCTGGAGGTTTGAAGCAGGGTGACTTATTGTTATTCATTTCTTAGGGCGTGTTATTCTTCCTTGCTGCAAAGTCGGGATTCATTGAGGATGCTGATGAAGCTGCTCTACTTCAAAATTTCATTATTTGTGTTGAGATGCTTGTTGCTGCTGTGGGCCTTTTTTACGCATTTCCATACAAAGAATATGCTGGTGCTAATATAGGTGGATCCCGTGGTTTGACTGCTAGCCTTGGGCATGCTTTGAAGTTAAATGACTTTTACCACGATACAGTCCACCAGGTGAGTGTCACTTTGTATGTTCTATCCATAGTTTATGACATTGTTTGTATATGGCTTTGCATCAAGCTTAATGTATGGCTTAGCAACAGATATGCTGCAATGAATTCTAGTTTTCTGTGTTGTTGAAATTTCTAGCCTTTCTTTGCTAGTCTTTTCTCTTCTGATACTATTTAAACTTGTGGCAGTTCGCACCAACGTATCATGATTATGTTCTCTATAACCACAGTGAAGGTGAAGAGGGAACAAGAAAGTACAGGTCACGAACTTTTGTTCCAATTGGCCCAGAGATGGATACTGCGAGAAGAAGTAAGCATATGTTTGGAAACAAGTTAGATGACATACAACTGTCAAGTTTATCTTCTTCTAATAGTAGCACTCCCTCAAATTCTGGTCCCGTGCCTGATGCTTCAAATTCTGATGCAATGAAATCTTCCTTGCTTGTGGATATGTCCAATTCTGTATCCATACCATACGATTTGACGCTTATTGACTTGGATGTATCCAGTTACCCTGAAAAAGTTCCTGCTGCTGATAAAGCTGGTGCTAGGTGACCCTGAGGAGCATTCACAGCTAGTTGGTGGGGAAAATGTTATTGCTAGACAGAGGAGATTAGAAGGGCGTCTAACATTATTTTCTGTGCTTGGAGAGAACTATGATCCAAGTGTGGTTTTTAAATTCCTGGAAAGTATTCAAGCAGATCCTGTGTGAACATACAATCTGCGTTACAAGTCCGTAGTCAGCCTCACTCCCTAGCAAAACAGTCCTTGATATTTTCTCGGTCTTGATCCTGTAATTGTCTCCGATGGTTGTGTGTCCTGTGTGCTCATTGTAGATACGGAGCTTGTTTGACATACTTTAAAGTTTAAAGTTCAAACAGGTCAGATACTCAAGAAATTCGAACTAGAATTAATTTATTGATTCTTTTCTCACATGGACCATGAAGAATCTAGAATTCCATTACCTTTAGTTACAACTTTTTTTGCATCTCCTTGTATTTGTTGTGTTTGATTATTTACAGATATTATTGCTGATGAGGGTCTTCATAGTTGCAATTAGTACAATTTCCAGATGGAAAATTTGACATATTTTATCCGGGTGTTGCTTTCCTCCCAAGCATCCTAGTCTACCCTTTACCGCTAAGTTATTCCTAGTTTTTCTGGGTAAACCTCATGTAGCCAATTTTTTTACTTCATACACTAGTAACTTTCAGTGCCTGGAAAATCGCTTTTAAATAGCAATGTTAAGACAATGCCATATGTTTGGCACTGACATCTTTGCTAAACTGGTTCCAAATGCAATCCTTTGTCAATTATGCGTTTTCTTTATTTTGCAAGTTTAAGCGGCTAAGGGGGGTTTTTATACGTCAGGGTTCAAGGATGTGAAATTGCTTTATTATTTTGATAGAATTAGTTCTATATTCAAATGCAATGAATATACTCAACAAAGATAAAGAAAGAAAAATTCTCTCTGTGTATTCCATAAATAACTGGGTAAACGGGGAAGAGTTCACAACTCCCAAACAATCGCTTTGGTATTATAAAATTGAGCTTTTCTCATAATCAGTATTCTTTTCTTCATCCTATACTACATATATTGAAGCCTGAAATTAAGTAAAATACTCTAACGTGCGTAGGAATGTTTAAACTTCTTGGAGAAAGATGCCAAATTAAAGAGTTGGTTCCACCTATCCAAGTGAGCCCGTCTTGATTGATAAGAACCCAACAGAACTGAGTTCAAATTGCTTATCTAACTTTTTAGACAAGCATAAACACTTGTATCCATAGTTATCAGTATAGTATAGTACGATGCATGATATAATTTGTACGATACGTTATAATTCACAAGAACAGTGATATATATTATGAAATGTATCATAGAAGAATTTGTTTCGGACGATATGATACTGTATTATACGATACGATATATATCATATATCATACAATACGAAAATAAATCAAAATTTATAATTTTTAATATAAAAAAATTAATTTATGATTTAAATTAAAAAAATCTACATAAAAATATTATTAATAAGGAAAATAAAATATTTTAAGATTTGACTTGTGATTTAAACTCAAAAATTAATTTGAAAAATATATATCAATAAGAGAAATAATTAAATAAATATCTTAATATATGTTTTTAAATTATTTTTTATTATGTTATTATATATTAGGATTCAATACGATTCATAATACATGATATAAAAAATCACCCAAATAATACATAATACGTATTACAATTCAACTACCTTTCTTATATCGCTACCTCAGCCCGGTTGCGTTACTTGCGTAGCATGCTGGTATAGCTTCTGTTTACAAATAATATTACTATAACTCATTACCCTCTTTTCGATTGGTAAGGAAATTCAGTTAATTGTTATCTAATTCTTTGGATAAGTACAACAACGCTACCTCAGCCCAATTGCTTAGGTTGCTTGAATTGCTCACTTTCCAATTCACAAAGTCAATTATTGTTATTTCTATAACGTAGGGATCATCATCATAATCAAAATCATTTTATTTTATGAGTGGAAGTATCAACTTTTTTTTTTATATATTATGTGTTACAAGTAAAATTTTATTCAAAAATATTTTACGGATAGTTTATTATCAAAAAATTTATAAATATAATATTTTCCTTATTTTGTAGCTATTTTTTCATTAAGATTTTTTTTTTTTTTTTTTTTTTTGTAATAAAGAGGGGCAAAAGCTCCAAATAAAACAAAAATTACGCGAGAACTTAAAAGATCTACAGAAGCATCTTGAAAAAGGAGCCCTAACAAAGGAGAAGGAGGAAAATGATAAACAATAAGATTATTATCATCCTCAAAATGTCTAGAAGCAAACCAGTGATCATATCTGTTATTTTCTCGAAAGATGTGGACCCAACTAACATATATTCTTTTGATCCTGTTCTGCTGTCGTCACTTGTGTGCAAAGATTAGTGGTAGTCTTCCTTACATTTATTTGGACACACGAAAGCATTTAGACTATGGCCCACGTTACCAAAGCTTTTGGCCCCACGGAATGGGGAAAGGATGCCCCTCCCTCCCTCGTTGGATAATCTGCGTACGACGACGGCTCTGATTTAACCCTACCAAACCATCCAGGATAGTGGACACAACAGGAAGAGGATGTTATCGTGTGTGATTGTCTTAAATCTTAATGATGACTCATATGAAACCATAGAGAAAGATAGAACGAACAAATAAATAGACCATGAATAATAATAAAATGATGACGGTAAAAAAAAAAAAGGACAAACATGTAAGGCACGTGATCGTCCACCCAAAAAAGAGCAATAACTTATCCAACTATCCACATGACATTTGGTATAGGAAAAAAAAAATTTTAGCTGAAAATTTCAATTTTCAAAAATATGATTTTTATATTCAGTTTATGATCATATCCGTAAATTTAAAATTTAGAAAAATTCAGTTTTCCGAAATTCTTGAAGAATCCCGTGTACCAAACACCCCCTAAAGTGCTTGATGCTTTTATAACAATATTTAAGATTATATTACTCTCATATTATATGAGATAATATAACTTCTTATAGACTCATTGATTTTTGTGTCTTTTTTTTTTAATAAATAATAAGACACATCACATGATTGTATCTATAATATGAGATAATATATCTCTTATTGAATGAAAGTAATATAACCCTAATATTTAATGAAAAATATTATATTTATAATTTTTTTATTTATAAAATATAAATTATTACAAACTTAATTATATATTTCAAAAATAAACTCGATTATGAATATATTTCCGAAAATACACAATATAATCTATAAAATTTTATAAGTATAAACTACCTCATATAAGATATATGATTTCGAAACCTTAATATATGATTTCGATAAACAGTTTTAGAAACAACTAAGAAGAGACAAGTTTTTAATTATAATTAAGAAAATTTATAATTTTTATAAATGCTATTAATGTTGAATATGACTCATACTTCATATATTAACGATGATTATTATTAGCAGGGTCAACAGCAAAAAGATAATTGGGATCTCACTCTTAGAAAAGCAGATGGAGTCGGAAGACCCGATCTTACTCACATGTGAAAGGATGGAGTCCAAGAGAGCCGCACCAAAGGGGTGGGGGACAGCCGACAGCGTCCCCAACTCCATAAAGGCCTAATAATATTGTGAACTTCTAATTTATTGTAATTTTATTTTTTTTAGTAATTTAGGTTTAGCCCATAAATAACTAGCATTAGGGTTTACAGACAAACATAATCTACATTGAATAAATCATGGAAATCAACGTGTCGATTTCTCTGTCCCCTTTCTCTTTTTGTTTTTCTATTATAGTGTGTGTGATTTCCAACAATTAATTTATAAGACAGAAGGGTACCGTGGAAAGGAAGAGGAACTACAAAAATAAAAATAAAAAAAGGGGGGCATTGTCTTTTTCTTATCTTTAGCTACTGCGGCGGCGCAAGCAAAGCAACAATAAGGTGCATGGGATTTCTACAGTTCAGACCCCCTTTCTTCCTCTTCTATTTCTATGTTACATATTTGTCATTATCTTTCACGAAACCATTTCTTCTGCTATTTAATCGCACTCAATTTTAGAAGAAGCAGGTAAAGCCAAAGCTAATTATATGGTTCTATCTGTTTTAACTTTTTCAGAGCAAGTTTTGGTGCCATGACAATGTTTCAGAATCAGAAGCGTAGCGAGAGTCATGTCACTGTCATGGGTAACCAGAACCCATTATTCAGGAGTGAGTCTTTTGGGTATTACCACTACCACCCTGAACAGAACTACACTATGATGGAGAAGCGACAACTGTTCCTGAGAAGCTACCAGTTCTGTCGAAAGAAGAGCCTCACGGAGAGAATCAAAGGGTCTTTGGTTCGTGTCAAGAAAGTTGTGTGGCTAAGGCTACGATCTGCTACCAGACTCAGGAGGACGGTTTTTTCCAGGTTCAGAATCAAATGCGGCTTCTATTACCGGAGAAGAAGGTTTTCACAGCTTCTCAATTGTCACAACCGCAAAAGTGACTCTTCCTCATGTTTCTGGTAGTGTGATACACACCACCATGAGAATTGAGAAACCTCTTCTGATATTTATTATTTTTTTATTTCATGATTCATCAGTTGCTGTGCTTGGAGTCCTTTAATATTAACTTGTAATGGCAATTCCGAACTAGTAATATACAGGTATTGGTATTCGTTTATTAGTCCCAAAAGGGTATTATTTTCCCTAATGGCCTTGGCAGAATTTTGATACTATAATTTTTTTGGCATGTCATGGTTTTGAAGAAGGTGCTTGATGATACAATGGTTACTATTAGCATAAAGTGTTGTGTCGATTCATGTAATCGGTCTATACACCTTTTTATGGCTTTCATGAAATCTAAAAGCTTTACATATATCATATTTACCTTCTTATTTTCTTACCATAATTTAGTCTTTTGCTTCCTATTATTCCTGGAAATTAAAGAAAGGTCAATTCCGAAACGGTCACTTCTTCATACATATTATTGAGGTTAGAATTCCAACATAATATAATCTAATCTAAGGGGTTATGTTCCATGGGAGTGGTAACTTGCAATTAAATATATTATTCGTATTGAGGCCTTCTTTGCTCTGGCACAGTTTATTCTTAAGGAAGCGTGGTCTAAAGGTATTTAATTTTTTTATTTCACAAGTATGGGCAAAAGAACAAAAAGTTGCTGGTTTAAATAACTTATTTTCCAGTTGTCAAATTAAGGGGCTTCTTAACGTGAATCTGATTCAGTGGACTTCAAGATTCACGAGCAACTCTCTGCTGGTCTGTTTGTGGTTGCTTCTGCCACTCTCTATTGTCTCATTAATTTTATTTATAAATAAGGGGACAATCAAGTTGTGTTATTACTATGTTACTACCAGTCAATCTCACCGTTAGATCGATTATGTTGATTCAACAGTTATATTTATTTCCATCTTTGTATGGTTATGATTCCCCATATTTAAAGTGAAAACATTAAATATGGGAAATCATAACCGTACAAAGATAAAAATAAATATAAAGTATTAAATTTGGAAAATCATGATCACACAAAGATGAAAATAAATATAACCGTTGGATCAACATACTCGATCTAACAGTGAGATTGATTGGTAGTAACATGGTAGTAACACAACTTGGTTGTTACAATATCCTTCCCCTATAAATAAATAGGGTAATTAAATGATGAGTTATATTTCTCTCTTTTTCACATAAGAGAATCAAGTTTCTATACACACAAATCACAAAATAGAAATGGGTCTTACCTCTATTTTTTTTCTCCTCTGCTACATGATAATTTGTCTCATCTAATATGAGAAAATGATTTCCTTAAATGATCAAGTAAAATTGGGTAAGCATTCAAGTGAAACAGTTCGAATTGTGGTCCAATTTATTCACTGTCCCAAATTAAAAGGTGCACCAGCAACTATAAACCTTTTCAACCAGAAACTAGTTTGCAAATAAATTTTCACCCACCTGTTTTTATTATAATCGCTACTATAAATGATTTTTTTTTTAAGGTATGAAGCACCTCATTTGAAAAGGCATGAAAATACAGCGGAATTCATTTAAAAAAAAGTTACCAATATTTTTATGTACAACTCATGAACTCAGAACTAAATTGACAATACAGCAAATAAAAAGTACCAATAAATAGTTACAAAAAAAAAAAAAAAGAACCAATAAACGTGAAACATGCATTTCTTTGACTAGAAAAAATAGTCCTGGTGAAGAAAATTATTTAAGGAAAAAAAATCACTATGTGGGTTGTACTATAACTTGTAACTTGTGTCAGTCCTTTCTTTCTTTCTTTGGTGCTATTGTTTAAGCTAATTTATTATTTGAAACGGGGACTCATCAATATTGTGTTTAAAAAATTAAAAAATGTCAACGGTTTTTGCGTTGAGTTTGCAACGGTAACATAACCAGCCGAGCAAATGGAATTATGGAACATACAATTTATTTCAGAGATTCTAGTTGATCCTGAAGGCCATTTAATAACTAGTCACTAATGGCCTAATGGATAAAACGCCACGTTTAGATTAACATGAAATAACGTGCAAATAAGCAAAACACAATCGAAAGCAAACGGATGTAACAGCAAAAACTTGTTGATTTCGCTGGTGCAAGCAATGTTACCTAATTTTGATGGAAATTTAAATTGCTATTAAAAAATATATCAGTTCAACAGTATTCTTAATTAATTTTAAAAGCAGTAAAATCCTCAAATTAAATTTAATTGCATATAAATATATTTTTTATCCTTTTTTTATTTTTCAAATAGTTAGAAAAACTATCATACTTTTTTTTTATGATCTGGTTTTTTTTTTTAATTTAACATTTGGTCGTTGAAATTGATGATTAAAAAAGGATTCTACTTGTTAATTGGACCAAAAAATTAATGAAACAGATGAAGTCATAGGTCCAAATAATCTAAAAAATCACAGGTTTACAGAATCAATTCAAATTCAGTAGTAGAGAATTGGTATTTTTATTTAATTTAAATTTTTTTTGAGAGAAAAATAAAAATGTATATATGAATTATTATCATTTAACTTTTTTTATTTTATTTTACAGAACAGATAATATGGTCTTCTTATATTAGTATAAAACTTTATCTAACTTAATTTGTTTATGATTTCTTGTAAACTTATTATATAATATTAAATATACTAAATTTATATTAATTATCGTGAGTTCAGTTCCAATAGATTTACATTTGCTGGTTTTGTTGTGATATTCAAATGTGATAAGTTCTATATTAGTTGGTAATACGTTAAGTGAAGTGGATATAAATGAATGGATTCATAAACCCTTAAGGTTTTGGGTTAAGATGTGGTGTCGAATCCACTTGATATGGTTGGTCTAGCTTAGCTCATTAGTGGTATTCTCTCACCATGGGCTCCTACTGGACCCGCCTAACAGGATACATTAGGTCTAACTTAGCTTGCTATGACTGGTCTAACTTAGTTTAAGGTTTTGGGTTGTAACGTGGTGTCAGACTCACTTGCTATGATTGGTTTAACTTTGCTCATAAGTGGTGGTCCTCCGCCATGGGCTCTCTCTGAACATACCTGACTCTGGTATCAGAGCCGGATTGTGCTCGGGTTAGTCTAGTGTTTGGCTAGGAAGCGGATTGAATACTTTGGGCTTAGGTACTGGATTGAGGGGATCATACCAATGGTTAGTTTCACATTTGAGGGGGAGATTTGGGTACTTGGTTTAGAGGGATCATATCAATGGTGTGTTTTACAGTTGAGAGGAAGATTGTTGTAATATTCAAGTGTGATGAGTCTCACATTGGTTGATAATTGGCTAAGTGAAGTGGATATAATGGATGAACCCATGGATCCAAAGTTTTAATATTTTGGGTTAAGATGTGGTGTCAAATCTACATAATATGATTGATCTAACTTAATCCATTGAAAATGATCCTCCGTCTCGGGCTCCTCCTAGACCCAATCACCAATTCATAGCACCACTTGAAATGTATTATGCAGGAGCTGAGCTTCTAGATTATTGTTGAAATATATAAAACCATTAATGTAGCCTCACCCAATAGCTTAAGCTTTTGGGTTGAATTGGTTCTTTACATGGTATCAGAGCCTCGTGTCCCGGGTTCGATTATCGTCGTCTCCCACTTTCTTTCAAGTGAAATTTCTTTGTTCGCACAGGTAAGTGGGTCTGTGCATTGTCCACCCTTCAAGTCCAATGGGCTCTCGTGTGAGGGGACGTGTTGAAATATATAAAACCATTAATGTCCAATAGCTTAAGCTTTTGAGTTGAATTGGTTCTTTACAGGCCCAATTTTCATAGCTTCACACATGGGTTTGGTGAAAACAAATAATTTTGAATGGCCAATGGACGTTTTCAAATCTGTGTTCTGAATAGGTTAGGTAATAACTAACGATAGGTTGCTGGCATATGGGTTATAATTTAGGAATAGCTCTCTGACATGCTTGTACTAATGCTGAGGTGTTCGGGCTAAAGATCAAAGGCTTAGAGTACGTAAATTCTTTTTCAATTTTGGTCTTAAGTAGTTAATTCAAACAACGATGATATTCACCCATGTCGTTATTAGGCATTCACAATGGTAACCCACTAACCCTTGGTCACTGCCACTCTTAAGCATGGACTTGAAGCATATTATAAACATTAAGCAGGCCCATCTAAAAATATAATAGCCAGGTTCATAGTATGGTACTAGCTTACACTTCACAAATAAAATTTTGGAGAAGAAATAATAAAAAGAAAAAGGCTGGTTAAGTCAGTCAAAGAACAAGATATGCAGCTTAGACCAGTGGATACTATTTTTTGACCTGCGACAGGACAAATTAGACCAACCGTTGATAGGCTTGATTACGTGACAATTCCTATCAAACAAACTGAAATAATTAGATATTTCTTTGCCACTAGATATCACAGCCACATACATTCCACAGTTAAGCAAATGATTGGCTTTAGCTTATTTTTTAACAGGGACATCAATCATTGCACATGCATCTAATATTCCTTTAACCACCAGCTGATTTGAATTGTTATATTAAACTAAGAATGTAAAAGAACAAAACAAAGAGTCGAAGTGGCAACGCAAGCGATTTGTAGCCATGTGTTAACAAGTTTTAATATGAGGTAATCTTGTCTGAATGCATTGAAGCATGATGGCAGCCATGTGTTATATAAGGTATCTAGTTAGCTAGTTCAGGCCATCACCAATCTCTGTGTATGTGTTTGAAGGAGTTTTAGACCCACATTCCCCATTATCTCTTACCTTTTATATGCTTTTTGCCTTTGTATATCTTTCATTGTCTTGCATAATTCAGCAAGAGAATATAGTCTTAGCAGTTTTTCTCACTTAACTGTGTACTATACCACAATGTTGAAGATGGGTTTGCGATTCTTGCGTACCAATCGCATGAGATGTGGCTATGAAAAGCTAACAAGTTCGACTCAGAAGATGATGAGGGTTGGAAGACGTTGTTGGGTGAAGTCTGTGAATGGAAGATTACGTGGCCTTCGATTATCACGGTCTAGGAAGCTTTCCTTAGGAGCTTTCTCTGCAGTTATATTCTCAAGCAGAATTGTAAGAATCTACAATGACATTGTCAATCGAATGAACATGGAAAACATGTATCCAGCTATTGTTCTTCCCACTCAATGGGGCCTTCCTGTTCTATCTCATCCCTCAGTTGTATGCAGAAGGAGTGTTGTTCCTCTTACTAGAAAGATGACTTGCTATTAGTAACATTTTGTTGTCTGTTCTTGTTCTTTTCTGCTCAATAAAACTTCTTTGCTCCATAATGATTTGGTTCACAGTTTTTATGATTCTGATATATAGTAAATTAATTTGAATTAATGCAATCAGTTTCATGCATAAACGAACAGTTAAATTAGCATTTATTAAAAATGATCTGAGAACTTTGCATTAAGCATTTCAAGGAAAAGTTTGGGCAAATTTTTTATTATATTCTCGTGGCCAAACGTTTCAGAGGGTTCCTTGCTTCTTATTGCATATTCTTTATGCATAGCATAACGCATTCTCTTATTTTAATTTTGGGAAAAGTTGACCGACGTTCATTTGATTTATTTCAGAATCACGTCTCTTCTTGTAATTTTTTTTATTACATATGTCCCTATGGTTTGTAGAAAGATATATTTTTAATCACATATGTCCCTGTGGTTTTTTAACTTTTACAAATCATGGAGTATATGTGATAAAAAAAACTCACACGACGGTGATTCTAAAGCAAACCACAAGAGTATTGGTGAACTTTCCCCTTTAATTTTTGAGTCCTCAACAAAAAATTATGGGCTTATTTTAATCCCTTATGTATATAAATATATTCTTACACCAGTGTAAGAGTTAGAAGTCTTACACTCAATCTTGATCATTGATCCACTTATATTCAATGACTCACATTACTAAAAAATTAGAGCCCTTAGATATAAGTGGAATCAACGGACAAGATTAAAAGTGTAACTTACACTGGTCTAAAATGATCCTGACTCTATATATATATATATATATATATATATATATATATAGGCTTTGTTTTACACTCCTTTCACATGAGAAAATAAATTTTCCTACACACACATATTTAAGGTAGGTCCCACCATTAAGAAATTAAAATAAAAATAAATAAACAAAACACACGTATTGATGTATGAGTGACATGAGAAATACTTACTCCAACAACATGAGAAAGTATTTCCCCTATATATATATATATATGAGTTCGTTTTTTCTACAGTCAATGTAGATAACTTATCTACAGTGAGCCCAAAACGATGTCGTTTTGAGGCGAAAATCAAGGTATTTTGGTAATTATAATTTATTTCAGGGTTATAATAGTCTTTTTCATTATAATTTTTTAATCTTTCAATCCAAAACGATGTCGTTTTGGGAGCGAATGTAAATAACTTATCTACATTCACTTTAGAAACATTAAAGTCTATATATATAGGGGCAGGTTATATTTACAAACTTTTTTGTTTACAAACTCTTACAAATCACACTATCTTCTCCTGAAAGAACATTGATTACACTATCTTCTCTCGGAAGAACATAGAGCAATTTGTAAAAAATTTCAAAAAAAATTTGTAAACGGATCCTTCCCCATATATATATATATATATATATGTATGCGAGAAAAAAAATCTATGTGTGTCTCTCTAAAATTAAAAAAAAAAAAACCCAGTTAGTCGAAATCGTGATCCATCTGAAATTCAAAGAAGACTCATGTTAGTACATCAAAAAAACTAACATGGATCTATTTTAAATTTTATGGGGACAATGAGTCGACTTTTTTTTTTCTAAAGGATTAAATTAAACCCTGTGATATTTGTCAAGAATCTAAAAAATACTTTATTCTCTTTAGTCGCACACACTTAATCATTTTGTTTTGTTTTGTTTTTACCCGATAAAAAAAAGTAACTTAAGATGCTAACAACAATGTTATTATGATTTCACCAAAAAAAAAAAACAATGTTATTATGAATGTTCAATAACCAAATTATATATCGAAATAGAATAATATTAAAAAAAGAGGATGGTTATATTGATAATTTTAATTTTCTTTTTTATTTACAAACTATACTATGTCTTACCGGTAAGACTTTATTCAATAGTATTTTACCGGTAAAATATAATGTAGTTTATAAATAAAATTTTTGTAAATATAACCTAAAAAGTGTAGAAATAATGGAAAAAATATTTGTCGTTTTAAAGAATATAATTTTGTATCATTTTAGATCCTAATCGTTGATTTCCGTCAATCAATGATTAGGATTTATATTAAATTTATTACGACTTATTAATTAATTAATAAATTTAACCGAATAAATCAACGGTTAAAATCTAAGATGATATAAAATTATATCCTTTAAAAGAAGAAATATTTTTCCCAAAAATAATTGACTAAATCTAACATTTAAAAAAAAAAAAAAATTTCGTAAGTCGTTTTACTAAAACAGATCGAGACGAGTTAGTTGGGCCTTTTTCACTGTAAGTCTGAGACACTATATGAGGCTTCCATGAGGAACAAGTTAGTTGAGCCTTTATCGTACATCAATATGGGCCGACAAGTGTTTTGATTCAAGCAACATAAGCTAATGAATTTCGAGTTTGTATGTCGTAGCGAAAGAGTGGCTATGGCTATGGTGGTGGTAATGACCCCTTCCCTTGCCGTCGTCGTTTCTCAGCTCAAGAAACAATCCTTTCTTCGGTAAACCACAGAAATCGTGTTTCTCACAGGTTTCCCTCTCTCTCTATCGAAACTTAGCAATACGAGATTTCATTGCTGCTTTTATGTTATGTTGTTCTAGAATCTTCTAGCCTTACGATGTGGATGTGGAACAATGCATTGTTACTGTTCTAGTTTCAAACTCATCTTAGTGATGCACTCTATGCTTGAATTTCTGGTTTTCTTCCCCTTCTTTTTTGATCTGTGGCACCATCATATTGCGTTGCTTCCAATTCCGAAATCGGAGTATTTAGTCAATGAAATAGCACTGGTTTTGCCGTATTTTCCTTTCTTCCTTTCTTTTTTCTCTGTTTAAGTTAACGAGTTCCATGCCCTGCTCTTGTGTCATTTGCATTACTTACATTTTATATCTTTTATTTTCATAACAAAAATTAAAAAGCTGAAAAATAATATGATAGGTAATGAAGGCATGGGTGCATTAGATATCCATCCATTAAAATTGTATGATTGGTGGAACATCGTGGTGGCTTTTGATCCTCTTTTGTATTTATATTTTATTATAATTGGCTCTTCTCTGGTCATCATCATAACTCCTTTGTGGGCTGGAACTTGAGGGACCAAGAGATATCTTCCACTAATACAATCTGAAATATTGGAGTGAATTTTGTGGTTATCGCTGACATATAAGTAAATCAACCATTAATGAGTTGTTGACTACTTCCATTACTTTCCCCGTTTCTCATTTTGTAAATAATTTGCATTTGGCCTAATTTTGCAGAATTATATGCTTATAAATGGCGTGGTGGAAGCTAGGAAAGAAGGTGAGTTGACCTTTACAAGCATATGTTCTTGTAATTAAAAATTGTATCGATATGATAATTATCCAGCTTGCTGGTTTCCTGTAAAAATTATTTTGTCATATAGCTCATTCAGTTACTGATAATGTCCTTTTTATTATCTGGATGCAGAGAATATATATGAATTTCACTAGAGCTTTGACTACAATGCCAGTTAGGCATGTGGCAGGGTCAAGCTTTACACCTATCTTTGTGGCACAATCTATTTATGCATCAGCAAGATGCATGCCAGGTAATTGATATGCTTTATGCATTTAATATTGTATTTCCTGCAGTTGTATGTTATTTACTTACAAAATCTTTAAACTACATGATGCAGATTTCATCAGCCAGTCATCTCTTGGAATGGCTGGTTTTTGCAGTGGGACTAAAGAATGTGGAATACGGTAAGATAATATTCAAATTTCAAAATGAACCACTAGGATTGAGAGCATATTTAAGAAGCCTAAATTGATAGGTAGTACTGCATTGGTGATAGGATGGGCTTATTCTGATGTGGTACCATTGTATATAGGTGTTGCAACAACAATAAAGAATTTCATAAATTGTGATGTCTGTGAGATTTAATAGAGATGGGTAAGTGTACTTTATTGATCTTTTTTTTTTGGATACAAGTGAGAATTGAACACATAATCTAATACAACTTACTTAAACCCTTCACCACTAGACCAATCCTAGTGGCTTTACTTTATTGATCTTTGATTGTACACTTTGGTCCTTAAACTTTAAAAAGGTGCAACTCAATCCTTAAGCTAACCTCAAATCCTCACCGAGTTAGCACTGGAACAACATAGACTTCAGCCACCAAAACCCCCAAATCAAACCCCAAGGCCAAAGCCACTTAATCCAAAACAAACCCATTGTTTTGAAGGTCCATAAATATTGTTTGTCTCAACTTTTTTCATTGTTGGTGCACCTTAGGGTTCAAAAAGCAGTTGTCTTGCACATGAGCATTTCCATTAGAGAGTGAGTGATCAAGAATCTAACAAAAGGACTAAAGTGAACAGTTAAGAAAGCTTAAGGATCAAGTACCAAAGCTTAATAAAAGTAAATGGACTTCCCCTTGTTATGGAAAAAATCTTCTTTTCGTGTTTGAGTTTTTAAGTGTAGCTTCAGAAGGTTATACAGTGAAGTTCGATGGTTTGACTAACCACACGCAAGAAAAGTGGGGGTGAACTGGATGTAGGAATTTTTTTGATTTCAACTCAAGATATATATGCTTTAATGAGCAAGAAATTAATTAATTGCATGAGCATACAATAAATCACTTTTGCTTACATATATGTATTTTAGTTTATTTCTGAATGAAAACTGATCGATGAAATCATGGTCATAAATAAAAAAAAATGTGTGCTTGCATGGTTAAATGTCTTCTATTGTGTCTGATTGGGATGTTAAGTTCATGAATTATTTCTGTAAAACTTCATGGGAGCACTGCAACACTCAATTGACGTTGTCTTAATCTTTTCACACTCAAGCATATAGTCAACCTGGGGTTGTTAACCTTAGTCTAGCTGCCTAGGGGATGCTGGAGCAAATTCTTTATCGCTGTTTTCTATGTTCTTAATTTCATCATTTTGTTTGTATTTTACAGTGATTTCTATAGGGACATGACTAGCAGTTGACTTTTAAATGAGGTCTAGACCTTAAGGTTATTTGGGCTTTGAAAGATTGGGATGGGTTTAGTAATAAGCTAATAATCCTAGTATGAATAATCCTCCTTTGTATTCAGCATCTTTCAGCTGTAGGTGAAAATGCTAAAGCTAAAATTTATTTGATTGTACTTGGAAGAAAGAAGTGGCATTAGTTGAAAATTACAACTGCATGAAGATTTAGTACTTGACTTATATATAAAATAAAAAGTTACTTAACTGAAAAAGAAAACGTATAGAGGTAAGAGGTAATCAGTTTTGTTTACGTTGGTAGGTGCTTCCATTCTAGCTCTCAAGTCTGGGCAAGTGTTGATGAATTTGGTTTGAAGACCCAAAGGAAGGAAAAGTATGTGAGAAGGGACAGAAGCCAACCACCTGTTGAAGCTCCATATGTCCCTCGTAATGTCCAAGCTATCAAATCTAATCCTGACAAAACAGTAGAAATATTTGAAGGCATGACCCTTGTTGAACTGGCAAAGCGTACTGGAAAATCAATATCTTCTTTGCAGGATATCCTCACAAATGTTGGTGAAAAGATTGAATCAGAGTTTGAGCCTCTGGGCATGGATATTGCAGAGCTTGCTGCAATGGTATTTCTTCCTCCTTAGTCACAGATGATGTTAAACCAGTGAATATTACAAGCTAGTACCTTCAGTTGATCCCAATACTTATTTGTCAGTCCTTTCCATTTGCAAACGACAACTTGTTAGGAACAAATTAAATAGTTCATATTTTACTTATTCTTCAGATGCAGTGTATTGGATTTGTGGTTAGCTTATAACCTTTTTATTTGTTTGAGATGAAGTCTAAAGCTTTCCTTGTTGTGAAGTATTGATGGATCTGATAGAGATCATGGAGCTTGATTAAGTGTTTTTCCTGAAATTAGTTGGCATTAGGCCGTCTTGTGCACCCCCTCCCCCTCTTCTGTTTAAAGAATACAGTATGAATACAAAAATAAAGTGAAAAAAGTAATGGATAAGACGAGGCCTAAAGTATTGGTAGGTAGATTTGGATATTTATTTATTTTATTTTAAAACTATCATTTAAGCATTATAGTTAGGTATCCTCACAAGTTTTAATTTGTTTGCCTTCATTATGGGTCATTGCCTCAAAAGCTTCACTCCCCTCTTATTTTTTCTCTGAATTTGCTACATGATGCATTTTTTTTTCCTGTTTGTTGATATTTTCTTCACTTAATTAGTTCATTGCTGCTGCAGGAGGTTGGTGTCAATGTCAAGAGGCTACATTCAGCTGAAGGTGCAGAAATTTTACCACGTCCTGCAGTTGTAACAGTGATGGGTCATGTTGATCATGGTAAAACTTCTCTTCTTGATGCTTTGCGTCAAACATCAGTGGCAGCCAAGGAGGCTGGTGGCATAACTCAGCATCTAGGTGCTTTTGTGGTGGTCATGCCTACAGGAGCTGCAATCACATTTCTTGACACTCCTGGTCATGCTGCATTTAGTGCAATGCGGGCAAGAGGCGCAGCAGTCACAGATATAGTAGTGCTAGTTGTTGCTGCTGATGATGGCATGATGCCTCAAACACTGGAAGCCATGTCCCATGCAAAGGCAGCTAATGTACCAATGGTAGTTGCAATTAATAAATGTGATAAACCAGGTGCAAATCCTGAAAGAGTAAAACTGCAGCTTGCTTCAGAGGGTTTGGTGCTGGAGGAGATGGGTGGGGATGTTCAGGTTGTTGAAGTCTCAGCAACTGCAAAAACTGGAATGGATAACCTAGAGGAAGCTTTACTCCTTCAGGCTGATATGATGGATCTGAAAGCACGATTTGATGGGCCTGCTCAAGCATATGTGGTGGAAGCAAGACTTGACAAAGGACGGGGTCCATTGGTAACTACTATAGTGAAGGCAGGGACTCTAGTTTGTGGCCAGCATGTGGTTGTAGGCTCACAGTGGGGAAGAATAAGAGCTATTAAAGATATGGCAGGGAGGTTAACTCAGCGAGCAACACCTGCAATGCCTGTTGAGATTGAAGGGCTTCGAGGGCTACCGATGGCTGGTGATGACGTTATCGTTGTTCAGTCCGAGGAGCGAGCTAGAATGCTTAGTTCTGGTAGGAAAAAGAAATCTGAGGAGGACAGGCTTAGGAGTAAGATGATCCAGGACAAGCCAACTACTTCAGATGATTCTGAGGAGGTTCCGCAGTGGGTTGAAATGCCAGTAATAGTAAAAGCAGATGTTCAGGGAACTGTTCAAGCTGTCACAGATGCATTGAGAACTTTAAATAGTTCTCAGGTATGTGGCAATTATAGCAATATGATAAACTTTTGTTTTTGCATACACATGCATGCTCCCCCACACACAAAGTGAGGGTGAGGAAAGCCTTATCACCAGATTTTGTATCAATTGGGAATCAGTATGTCAGTTATCAGTAAAAAAGAATACAAGTGTTAAGAGATATATAATTAAAAGCCATTTATGGCCCTGAATCTAAGATCTGAACCTTTTACCCGTTAGGTATCGGAGCCTTTTTAATAAAGTGATTATGTGTTCAATTCTTGCTGTTTTCTTTCTTCTAAATCCTAATAGTTTAAATTTATCACAAGGTAATCTGGATTTGGGCTTTGTCCAAATGTCCATGTTTCAAACTGGAGGTGCTTTCGAGTGAACAGTGGTACCGGAGATATAAATCAAAACCATTCATTGGCATGCATCTAATAGATTAAGCTTTTGGGCAAAATGGTTTCTTTACAACAAGACATCTACTATTATTTGATATAATAGTTATTGATGCCATGGTGCAATCATTTTAATAAAGATTTATAACGATGGCTTGATGAAAATGACATTTGAAAAGTTGTTTACTTGTGTAATCAGTATAAATAAAAAAAAATTCCAGTTGATCATTCGCTATATATCTTGGACATTTTGGGAATGGTTTGCTTGTAATGATTACTAAGATGGCATACATGTCTGAGCCAGCCCTGTGACACCTGACATACTAGTTATCATGAACATTTAATTTTACAGTGTTTCTTTACCGAAATTTACTATTTGTTGCTAAATATCCTGTAATATTATTGCTAGGTTTTTGTGAATGTTGTCCATGTTGGCGTCGGGCCTATTTCTCAATCTGATGTGGACTTAGCACAGGCTTGTGGTGCATGCATTGTAGGATTCAATGTCAAGAGTCCACCTACTTCTCTGAACCAGGCAGCCACTCGTGCCAGTATAAAGGTATTAACTTATAAGCTTATGCTCTTATCAACTATATTTTGATTGTAGTTAAGATTCTGTGACAAGAAAACTAAGATTTTCCTTTGATATCCGTGTGGTTTGGTTGTAGGTAATTAGGCACAGCGTAATTTACCACCTCTTGGAGGACATAGGCAAATTGATAATAGAGAAGGCCCCTGGGACTTCTGAGACCAAGGTAGCTGGACAGGCAGAAGTGCTGAATATCTTTGAAGTCAAAGGTAGCAAGTCCAAGGGACCTGATGTTAAGATAGCTGGTTGTCGGGTTGTTGATGGTTTTCTGAGCAGTTCAGGAACCATGAGGCTTCTTAGGAGTGGGGAAGTTGTGTTTGAAGGACTTTGTGCATCTCTTAAGAGGGAGAAGCAGGATGTGGATACTGTCAAGAAGGGAAATGAGTGTGGATTAGTAATCAGTAATTGTTATGATTTTCAGATTGGAGACGTCATCCAATGCTTGGAACAAGTTGTTAGGAAGCCCAAGTTCATCAAGTCTGAGAGTGGTGCTGTTCGAATTGAGTGCTGATAATGTTGATAATTCTTTCAATACTCATTTTTTTTGGGATGGAATCACACCCGAGCCGGAAGAATAACTAAATATGGATAGATTATTAGACTAGTTAATTTTTGTTGTACCAAAAAAAGTAAAGAGCAATTAATTTTTGAAACATAATTTTAATAGCTTAGTATATTAGTATTTAGCTTGTGCGTTACATGTGTACTTACCGGTGTTTAAGGATCATATGTCAGAGCCGCAGCTCTATACTTCCTTAAAAGAATACAAATGCATTAATTGTACCAATAAGCCTACAAAAATTTTCCACCATATTTTCTATCATGTGAATTGCGATCTTGTAAAGTGTTGTTAATGCCCATAAACCAATGTATTTGTTAAATAAATTAAATAATTAAGTTTTTGATTTTTTATATGGTTTTTTCATCAGTTTTTCATTAGGTAAATTTGTTAGACTAATGTTGCAATCTTGTATAGTTGTACCGAAAGTAGATAAATGAAATAAATTAACAGTAATAAGTATTTAAGAAATAAATTATTAAAATAAATAATTGCAGTAGTGCAAGAAGATAGCTTTTTCGCATAATATTCTAATAAAAAAATTAAGTGGACAACTAATAATGTTATCCAAAATTTTCCTACTAAATTATCTTGCTTTTTCACTTCCCTTTCTACAAGATTATAATATAAAGACGGAAGGTTGCTGCCGCTTGCCGAACGCAGAAGCATCTGCAACTTTTGGCTCACCTTTTTTCTTTGTCTATTAATTGATATGAAACGGCAATAATCACTCTTATTATTATTATTATTATTAGATGCATGGCTATGATCACTCTTATTACATGTCAATATCCTCCAACCCTCTTAATCAGAAAACTTTTGGCCAGACCTCCGTTCAAATAATTTATGGGTTTTATGTTTATCATTTAACATAATATAACTTCACTTTTCTACACACACATTAAAGATGTGTGGTCCACATGTTTTTCTTTCTCTTTCATCATTCCACTTTCTCTCTCCCTTTTGATGTTGGAAACAACACTTACATCATGTTACATAACACTAATAAAACCCATAATTTATTGTCATGAAATATTCTTCTAGTATATTCAAAATGAAATGGCCCATTTTGTCTTTTGTAAGTGTCCACGACAAATTAATTTAATCTTACTTTATTTATGGGTTTTATGAGTATCATGTTATATGACATTAGATTTTTTTTCTATTGATTCAAAAAGATGGGGAAGGATATTGTGACAACCAAGTTGTGTTACTACCAAGTGACTACCAATCAATCTCACTGTTAGATCGATTATGTTGATCCAACGGTTATATTTATTTCCATCTTTGTATGGTCATGATTCCCCATATTTAAAGTGAAAGCATTAAATATGAGAAATCATAACCATACAAAGGTAAAAATAAATATAAATTATTAAATTTGAAAAATCATGACCATACAAAGATGGAAATAAATATAACCGTTGGATCAACATAATCGATCTAACGGTGATATTGATTGGTAGTCACTTGGTAGTAACATAACTTGGTTGTCATAATATCCTTCTCCAAAAAGATATGGGATTCATTTTATTTTATTTTTTTCTAATGGGATCCACTGATTATTTGTATCTATGATATGATATATTTTAGGGTTCGCTTTTTCTACATTCAATATAGATAACTTATCTACAGTGAGTCCAAAACGACGTCGTTTTGAGGCATAAATCAAGGTATTTTTGTAATTATAATTTATTTTAAGGTTATTATAGTCTTTTTCATTATAATTTTTTAATCTTTCAATTCAAAACTACGTCGTTTTGAGAGCGAACATAAATAACTTTAGAAACATTGAAGCCTATATTTTATGTTATATAAACATGATACTCATAAAACCTTTTGATTATACATGTTCAATATCTTCCTACATGACATGTTATGTTTTGATTGATATATTTATAGGTTAAAGAATCTCACGTTATACTTCTCCTATATACACAACAAAGTACAAACATGTGATCTCATTAGAAAGAGGAAAGATTTTTTATTTTATTTTTTAATGTATCCATATAAAATTACAATAGTGACAGGGATAAGGGAAAATTTTACCATCCATGTTGGAATCGAATAAATGATAAACATGTGAATAATATTAAAAAAAAAATACCTCACATTCACTCATTAAATGATTGGTCCCAAAATTAATTATTAGTTACGTGTAAGACAGATATCATTAACAAGTACGAAACAAAAAAAAAGAGAGAAAGTAAAGCAGAAGCTGCCACCTAAGGATCTAAACACGTGGACTCAACAATGTGTGGAGTGGAGTACCGTAAAAGGTAGAGTTTGAAACGAGGAAGGCACATATATAACGATGAATTTTAAAGTATTGTGTTTGGTTTTGTTATGTTACAGTTTAGTTTAGTTTCCACTCCCAATTGAATTTGTTTCGGGCAATGCCAACCACTGTGGCGAGGTTTGCGATTACGACCACACCCGACCCAACTTCACGTTATCTCTCTCAATTGTTCAAATTGAAAAAAAAAAAAAATGAAAATCCTAATTTCCGTGACCTAATTTCCCTTTAATAGAAGTTAAAAGGTTCATCTTCAATATCGCTATTCTTGTTGGTGAGAAACAAAATACGCGCTTTGATTTGATGTCTGGTTCTGATGATGAGGAGATCTCAAATGTTGATCGTCGTGGTTACAGAGAAGGAGGCAGTGACGGCGATGACGATAACGATGACGATGGTGATGACGATGCTGCAATTGGAAAGAAGCAGAGCAGAAGAATGGGTATTGGGAAGGCGAAGCAGGTGGTACTGCATCAATTCACAAAAGCCAAGAGGCAAATCCGCAGAATCAGAAGCAAAAGGACTCTTCTTCCATCATCATCATCATCATCGTCTTCATCTTCTGGGAATGCAAGTATCACAGGTTCAGGTAAGATGACTGAAAGTGTTGGTACTCGAACTGGAATTGGGTGCAAGTTTTGTTTCTCGCGTCCCAAAGTGTTGGAATCCCCTAATGGATCTCCTATCAGTGACCCGAATGATCCAAATTTTACTAATGCCATGTTGAGAACTTTGATAGAAAACAATTCTTTCTATTCCAAAGAATGCAATCCCCACTTGGATTAGTACTGTTGGAGATTCTTTGCGTTGAGTTTCTTTCTCAACATACTGTGGATTTTTTGTCCTTGTTTTGGTCGATGGGATTTGTCTCAAATTTAGTTAGTTCTGTTCTGCCCTTATTTTAAAATTTGAAGTACATATGCAAAATAATGAAGTTACAACAATATAGCTCATGACACATTTTTGGGCAATGTTTGGATGTTCAATAAAAATGGTTGAGCTTAGAGGTGAGAACAACTCCGGAACATGTATGTAGGGAGTACTGAGAATGCCCTATCGTCATTTGCGTTTGTATTCATTTAGAGCAATGCGGTGGAAGAAGTTGTAGAGAATGCACTTGCTGTCATTCAATGATTACAGATTGAAGCTTTTAGTATGCATTGGAAAATGAAAGGGTTTGTAGATAACAGAGGGTTGCTTGATCAACGGCTACTGCTGGCGTGGAAGAGTTTGATGAAAACTGGATTCTTTGACATTCCGGAACGTCTGCTTTTCCTCAACCAGAGGAGTGGTGTACATAATAATACTGAAAAATTTTGAACCCTGCTATTTTCATATTCTCTTTCTAGCTGTTAGGACTATTTGATTGGTTTCCTCATATTTGATTGGTTTCCTCATGTACACTACTTTTTTCTTTCATCCTGTGAGAGGTTTTAATGGCGATTGTCACCTATAGAATTGTTTTTTCAACATAGCAACTTAAACGCTCTTCTCGTCTCCAGTTGGATTTTAAAAAGCATAATCTGATTCTTTTATATTACATATGTTCGATGATCTTTGGCAATGCCTCCCATACTTGAGTCTGCACATTTGGAATAGTTTAGAGAACTTAGGAAGCAAAATTTGGAGGTCTTTTTTGCTTTACAAAGCTGGACGAATGGGTTGGATAATAGATTGGTCTGGCAAATGTTTGTTTCTATTTCAGTTGTTAAGACACTGGACATTTTTATCATTCATTTTGGTTATGTTGACGACATCAATGGATTTCCGCAATAAGTATACATAAATAGTATTCTATCTTTCTCTGCCAGTTGTTTGTATCATAATTATTAAAGTTCTAGAAGTTGAATTCTCTTTGGTTCCCTGCTAGATCTTTTCTACATCGGAAATTTTTTGAGTTTTCTTCTGTTCATCTGAATGCTAAAATCCAATTTCAAGGGATTTACGTTGTGAGCTTTTCTAATTAATGGGTCCAATTCACACAAATTTTTATACTTTCAAGTCAACAGGAGAAAAGTAGTGATATGACTGAATTCAGATGATATTTTCATTTTATTCTTGTCTCAATTTTTTTCAAATGTTATAAGAAGGTTATTATTCCAGACTTTTTTCCATCACTTTTAGTGTATAATTTTGGTACTTCATCTTGAGAAAATTAATCTAGTTTCTGCCAGAAAATTTCTATGCCCCAATTTCTTCCAGCTAAAAGCAAAAACTTACAGAAGTTTTCATGGTACTTTTCATCAGGCAGGATGGAAACCCTTTCCTTTTGATTGTGTAGTTGCCCTTGCCATTTTCATGTTGATTAAAGAAATTAAAAGCGAGGTTTACTTAACTTTGGAGGTTTGTAAGGCTTTGTACTCATGATCTTGTAGCTTCTGTCCGAAACCTGAGATCAAGATACACGTATTACCATAGTCAAGCAGTTGATGTAGTCTGTTGTTAGAGGTGTGATCTTCTTATTGGTTCCAAACTTGATGGTGGAAACCATGAGAAGCACATTTTGTTCTTGGCTGAGACTTGTATCTCTAATTAATAGCAAAACTAGAGATTCATTTAGATGACTTTTACATTCTAATTTGGAAGCATTTTGAACCGTCACATGCTTCGTTTTATGGTGTCCGTCTTAATCATTTAAGTTATTTATATTCTAAGTTGTTCAAATATTTTTGTTGTAAAGAATTGGATAGGCTTGCAAACTTTTTTGCCTATGGTTTTTAATTAGATGGCTGCTATTGTAGGGTTTGGCCAGATTGCTTTTGCTGCACTGCCCCCAAGTTTACTTGGTTTAGAGGACTTCTGTGTGTTCTGTTGTTCTTTGTCTCTTCTACGATGAGGTACATTTTGGATGAGATAGAAAACAAGAATGGTTTTGTTTGTTGATATCTAGAGCCATTTGTGTAATTTTTTTATTTGGTAAACAAGTCATTTGTGTAATTTAATATTCAAAGAATGGTCACCAAAAGTTGTTCGATTTCCCTATCTTATCTTTGTTTGCGGCATAGATTACATTCTCATCACAATAATTCATAGGTTGCTGCTACATAATAGACTCCTTTTTTTTTAATAGGTGATTCATCTTACTATTGCATTTCTTATTTTAATTTTATTGAAAATTTGATTGTCTAGTATTTGATTTTCGTAATTTATAGAATGAGTTATGTATTGGATGCAAGAGAGGAGTGCGACGGGCTGAGTTTTTCAGCCCACTTTCAAAAGCGGGACAGGATAAGTTGATTCATTTTTTAACTGGTTGGGGCCGACCGAACCGCTCACTTTGCCACCTCCATATACTATACTTAGTTCTAATTCTCAGGCTAATGTTGCAGGCTTTGACTAACAGATAAGAAATATGATACCCCTATCCCATCCATAGATAATTTATACTGGAAAGGAAATTAAAATATTATTATTTAAATAACAAAATTACAAAAACATAACAATTTGAAACTAATTTACAAATCTAAAGCAACCAGTTGCATTCAAATTAGGCGCAACTAGTCGTGCCCAAATTGGACGCATTAGGGTGCTTAGTCGCGCCCAATCTAGGCACGACTCATTCGATGTTTACATGGGACACAAAAAAATCAATAGTTTTTATACAAAAAAAAAAAAAAAATCAATAGTTTGATCGTAAAATTTTGGAATACTATAACTTTTGACTATGGTGTCCAAATCAGGTAAAAAAAAAATTATTCTACATAACTTTTTGAGATCTACACAATGACATCTCATTGAAGAGAATTTGGTAAAAAAAAATTCCAATTTTTTTTTTTCAAATTTGCAACAATAGTGGCACCCCAAAAGCATTTTATCTCCCAAAATTTTATTTGGATTTTTGACTCGTTAACCCCTTTTTAAAACAAAAATTAATAGGTCCATGTTTGGGCTTTTTCACCCTTTTGCCCCTTATTAATTAATTAATAACCATTTTGTCCCTGATTCAAAATTATCCACCAATCTGTCCCTCTTTAATCGATTAACATGAATATTTAATCGCTTAAATGGTCAAAACAGGCAAAAATAATTGACTCAAGATTTAATCGATTAAATCTCCCAACAGGTAACAAAGGATTTCAAGTCAATATAATTTTTTAATCGATTAAATAGGGAGATTTAATCGATTAAATCTCAAGTCAACTATTTAATCGATTAAATATTCATGTTAATCGATTAAAGAGGGGCAAATTGGTGGATAGTTTTGAATCAGGAAAAAAATGATTATTAATTAATTAATAAAGGGTAAAAGGGTAAAAAAGCCTCCATGTTTGAGCGTTGACTAGATGATATTATTGATTACATGAACTCAAATTTATTATAAAACTTCGAAAGGCCACAACTTTTGGTTCGAGAGTCCAAATCAAGTATTTTTTTATTCCATATAATTTCTTTAGATCTATCGCATTGGAAAATTTCCATAGAATTATTTGTTAGTGTTGAAAAGTATAAATTTAAATAACATCATTAACAAATATAAAATATGTCAAACTGGACATAAAGAAGTATTTTTTGGGAAATTTTTTTGACCGCGGGGATTTGTTCATACACAGCTCTCAAAAAGTTACATGGAATAAAAAAAAATACACCTGAGTCAGAAATTATGGTCTTCTAAAATTTTATGGTCAAACTATTGATTTTTTTGTGTAACGTGTCATCATCGGGTGAGTAGCGCCCAAATAGAGAGCAACCAAGCACCCTTATGTGCCCAACTAGTTGCGCCCCATTTTGGCATGACTTGTTACTATAAATTCGTAAATTGATTCCAAATTGTTATATTTTTGTAATTTCTTATTTAATTTGCAATATTTAATTTTTCTTTTTGCCAGATAAGATTCCTTTATCCCAGGAGTTTTAACTTTTGTTTACAAACGAATCAGCAATTTTTTTTCCAACATATGATAGCCAAGGTAGTAGGGATGTTCATCAACCGATCCAAACCGCGGTGACCGAACCGAAAACCGAAATAACTGAAAATCGAAAAATCGAAAACAAAAAAAAAATCGCAAAATTTAATTGGATTGGATCGATTTTTAGATGGGTTGGTGAAAATTGATCCAATCCAAACCAATCCAATGATTCCCCAACCTTACCATCTACCTACTTGGGCCTTTCCTCAATCATAGCCCAAAAATCATATAGCAAAATTCTAAATACAAGGCTCATTAACCCATCATGTTGGAGAAAGCGGGTTGTGCTTGATCTATGTTATGCTCTCTTTTTTTTGGGTAAGATACATAACATATTTTGATTACATGGGTTATTGTTGTACAACAACTCCTCTATACGATGAAAATTTGGGTTACTTCGTATCTCAGGCAACCATATTATAATTTTTTTGTTGGAAGTAAAAGATGATAATTTAACTTTTTGTTGTGCAATGCTTCTAGATTGAATAATAATCATCATACGAACTTTACAAAAGCCGATACATACAAATAACATGTTATTTGCACAATAATCATCATACATATTTTAAACTTTTCAAAAAATCGAAAACCGATCCAATCCAAACCGAGTAAAATTGGATTGGATCGGGTTTGAAAAAAAATCCAAACTGAATGAATGATTATATGATTAAACCGAAAGAATTGGATCGGATGATTTTTACTTTCAAAATCGATTCAATCTAGACCACGAACACCCCTATAAAGTAAAATACGGAAATATTTAATGTGCACTCAGTGTACAAAAAATTCAATGGGCCAAACCAATAAAAAACTTACATTTTCTGAAAAGGTTGTATAGAATAGAGAGAAAGCAATTTTTTTGATGCAAGTGTCATTAATTGAATAGAAAGCCCACATGATCCAAGTGTCATTAATTGATTCAAGTGCATTTTCTTTTATTTAATTATAATTTAACTCCAATATATTTAATTAATTAATTATTAATCCCTAAATATGTCACGTGCACTAACACTTAGGGCATGTTTGGTATATAGTATAGGATAAGGCCTAATACTATAAGACCTGATAGTATAAGGTCTGATTGTATAAGATCTGATTAAATTTTAATACTATCCGGTATTTGACATGGTATTGTATAAAATAATATATTGTATAAGATAATATTATCTAGTAATTAGTAATGCACTTTATAATACTATATAGGATAAAAATAAATATTTTTTAATAAAAATATATTTTAATAAAGAATTGATATAATTCTTCAAAAAAATATCATATGATTAATTTTATAAAAATTTATTGATTAGTGTGTCCAAAAAATAAATTAATTTTTACAAAAAAAAAATTTCCATATTTTAAAATTTAATATATTGAAAAATTAATTTTTATTTTAATAAATTAATTTTAATATATTAATATTAAAATGATAGATTAATTTTTGAGAATTGCACCGGTCAATTATTTTAATCCACTAACTTCTTATCAGGCCTAATCTCTCCCTCTTAGGCCGGATTAAGTTATACATTATTTTGATGTAGTAAGAGATTTTGTTGTATAAGCTTATATTATATGATGGTCATATTAAATAACTGAAAATGTCATAATGTATAATATAAACTTATACTATCATACCTTATACATCACATCAAGCACAGAGATGCCTTTAATTCTTACTTGCTCCCCCTTCTCGCTGGCATGCAAAATTTCCTTCTTTTTGCCTGGATGCGTCCTTTATTAGCATGAAGATATTTTTTTTCTTTTTTTTCTCGGTAGATGCTTTCTTTCTAAAGGTTGCTTTTGGGGGATGCTGATGCTCTCATTCGAATACCCCCACATCATATATATTTGCGGTAATAAATATTGGGACCCACTTTGAAGCTTGGTTAATTAGGACTTATTAATTGGATATTTCCTTCTTTTAAATTGATAACTTGGACTGGATTGACAGAATATCTATCTACTCAGCCCTACCTGCACCGCCCCATTAATTAGGACATGGGCATTTCAAGGCCACTTTTGGCCTTGTGATTAGTAAGTTCTAAGTAAAGTAAAATAAATAAAAGGGAAAAATATTTATTTTTTAAAGGATATAAATTTATATTATTTTAGATGTTAATCGTTAATTTTTGTCCATCAACGATTATAATTTATTGGGTCAAATTTAATGGGCCAAATTTATTATTGATTAATTAATAATTTTGATCCAATAAATTATAACTATTGATGGACGGAAATCAACGATTAGAATTTAAAATGATATAAGCTTATTATATCTTTTAAAATTAGAGATGTTATTCCCATAAATAAAATAGCAGAATCGTATAAGCTTAGCTGAATGACTAGTAATCGTCATAAAATATAAGCCAGTACAGTTATTAGTGTAGGGAGCTGGGTAATTTGTATTAATTAAAAAAAATAATCATCATAAAATAAGAAAACTACCTATCTCTTAGGGAGCGGATAAGATCCTCATGTAAATATACTACTATACATTTTACTTTTCGTATTAAGTCTCACCTAATGTCTTAAAATTTTACTTATCATGATACAAGAGTTATAGTGACCAAGTAGTCATGAGTTCGACCTTCCTTACTTTTCACTTTCAGATGGAATTAAAAAAAATACTTGGTAAACAAAAAAATGGACATATGCCATATCCAAACTTTAAGCTCAAATGGCTCTTGCGTAAGAGAGTGTGTTAGAGAGATACAAAAAATACAAAATAATTAATTAAATCTCATCTAATGCCTTAAGGGGGTGTTTGGTTGAGGATTTTCAAAGATTTATCTATGCATCTCACTTTGGGAAAGTGTGACATCCACGTTTGGTAGAGGGTTTTGAAATATTTCCCCAGCTCTTATATTTACATAGCAATCCAGAAATGCTTGTAAAAAGCAACTATAAATCACTGTTATGAAAGACAAGTAGATGGTGGTATTCTATAGTTAGCCGGCGAAATGTTAAAAATGGCATCCATTTGCAGACCAAAATACCCTCGCGCTAGAGGTGTTGATGCAGCTGACTTGATCTCATTCATGCTGGAGCTTAGTTTTCATGTCATCGGGGAGGCATATAATATAAACACAGTGACTGATTTTTAGACGAACATAATTAAGGACCTAGCAGACCTTGGACTGGTCAAACTTCAACAGGGAAGGAAAGAAAGTTGGTTCATACCAACGAAATTGGCAACCAATCTTTCAGTGAGGTTGTCTGATTTATCATCTAGAAAACAGGAATTTGTGGTTGTGGAAACAAATTTTAGAGTTTATGCATACTCATCTTCAAAATTACATTGTGAGTTATTGCGGCTGTTCTCAAGGATAGAGTATACACTTCCAAATCTTATTGTTGGAGCTATTACAAAAGAAAGCTTGTATAACGCTTTTGAAAATGGCATTACAGCAGATCAGATAATCAGTTTTCTTCAGCAGAATGCTCATGCTCGAGTTGCAGAGAGGATACCATCTGTACCTGAAAATGTCACAGATCATATTAGACTGTGGGAATCAGATCTAAACAGAGTTGAGATGACAGAAGAATATTTATAAATAAGGGTTATTTTGTAATTTTGTCATATTTTCCCATCAAAATAGCCATCTCAACCAAATATGGACTCAATATATTTAACTCAATTTTCTCAGTAAAATTTCATTCAACCAAACAACTTTTTTTTCACTTTCCTACCTAACTCACTTTCCAACCATTTTCCTATCAATTACATTTCTCTAGTATTCAAAAAATTTCTCCTCAACCAAACGCCCCCTAAGGGGGTTTGGTATGGGTATTTCCGTATTTGGTATGGAATGATAGGAAAGTGAAGTGGGGAATAATTAATTATCATGTTTGGTATGAGTATTGTGAAAAAAAAACCCCAGCAAATATTTTTTCCCAATACTTCCATTTTCAACTACACAAAGGCAAATAATTATCCTACTGATCCTTTGGTATTTTTTTTTTTTTGCCTATGTCTTGGATTGTGAATATAATATGTTGAGTCAAAAACACCGTTCTAATTTATGACTGCATGTGTTCAATAGATTTACCACAGAAGCACGCCATCGTCACTTTCGCGTTCCTGGTCTACGTCTGCGCAAACTCGATGGTGTGGCTAGTAGGTGGGTTGTAGGTTCGTCAAACTGTGGATTCTAACTACATCTTGATTTGCTCCACAGAGACAATATGAATCACTTTTTATATTCAAAAAATTAAAGGTTGTTTTGGTATTTTCGATTCACATTCCCGTTAATATTTTATCATTAACCAAACATAGCATTAGTAAAATGAACTCAACTCTTCTGACAAAATTTTGGCCAACCAAAAACTTTTTCGTAACTTACTCGGGCTAAAAAAATTCTTACCAAATCCCCAACTTGTTGGGAAATTCGTTCCCTCAAACTCCAATGTCAAGCTGGTCCAGGGGAAGCCTGTGGCGGGGAACCACCACCAATGAGCTAAGGCTACACCAACCGTAGCAAGTGGATCCGACACCATGTCTCAACCCAAAACCTTAAGGCATTGGGTTCATGGGTCCTTTCACTTATATACTCTTCACTTAACTCATTACCAACCAATGTGGGACTCATCACACTTGAATATCTCAACAATCTCCCCCTCAAGTGTGAAACCCATCATTGGTATGCTCCCCCTCAACCGAGTACCCGAAGCGTAAAGTACTCGACCCGCCTCCTAGCCAATCACTAGACTAGCTCAAGCCCAATCCGGCTCTAATACCACTGTTGGGAAATTCGTTCCCTCAAACTCCAATGTCAAGCGGGTCCCGGGGAAGCCCGTGGCGGGGAACCATCACCAATGAGCTAAGGCTACACCAACCGTAGCAAGTGGATCCGACACCATGTCTCAACCCAAAACCTTAAGGCATTGGGTTCATGGGTCCTTTCACTTATATACTCTTCACTTAACTCATTACTAACCAATGTGGGACTCATCACACTTGAATATCTCAACACAACTATCTTTTTACTCGGTAAAAAAAAATATCTCTCGTACCAAACGCCCTCTAAGATTTTGGATTAAAACAATGCTTATCATTATATTACTGTTTATTTTTTTAATGACTGAAAACTAAAACTGTCATATTTTATTACTCTCTTGATTGTATGTTCGTTTTACTATTACCTTTGCCTTCATCTTTGCATTCCGACACCTTCACACTGTGGCTCAAGAAGAGTAACCAACAAATCAATCCAAAAATGATTGTCAGAGTTGACAGTGATCAAGAATGTGTGGCAATAAGGTTAATAAACAAAGCTGCATGTTTTGTAAGACATTTATCACAAAAGGACCATTTCCGTTACCAGATAACCACTCCAATTGAGTGATTATGACTTCTATAACCCCCTCTCCAACGCCAACCAAAATTATAATTTAGTTATTTATTAAATTACGACAAAAGTTATATTTACAATAAATTTTTGTTTATAATTTTTTATAACTATATATTAATTGTTGATTTTTGTCAATCAATGATTATTATTTTCGCAAATTAAATTCATTAATTAATTATTAATTCATAATAAATAATAACTATTAATTAACGGAAATCAATATTAAAATATAATTATAAAAGATTGTAAACAAAAATAGTTTATAAATATAACTTTTTCTTAAATTATATACAATTACACATTTTCCCATCACACATAAATTACACGAGTCATATATTACATGTTTCTATTTGGACTGGAGGGGTGTGAGATCATCAGCTGTCGGTATTTTCCTATTTAGAAACCAATCCATTCTTTTAATTTAATATAATAATACAATGATGATTGAATAATAATAATAATATAATATTAAGTTGTAAATATAAGCAAGCATCGGAGACTGAAAGAGACAGTGATTCTATTGAATTATTAATATTATGGCATGTAAGTCTCTGCTCTGTCCTAGTCCTAAGTCCTAACTGCTGAGTTGAGTTCCGAGCTTGGAGGGTGGTGATTTAGATTCAGCTTGTTTTTCTGGTTAACCACACAACCATATAGATAGATGCAGCAGCAACACTAATAAGTAGCTAGGATTTGTAATTCCTAGCAGCTTCAGATTCTATTAAAAGGCTTTTTTTTTTTTCTGCTCAGTGGTTGGGCACAGTGTCAATCAATTTGTTCCTTGCAAGGTGGGTTTCTCTTTCTGCATTTTCTTTCTGCTCCTTTCTTTTCCTCAATTCAGCTGATTCTTGCTTCTTCTGGGTAGGTTGGCTATCTGCCCTTATCCTCCTGAATTTGCTTCTTTTAACGTTTGTGATTGTATATACTGCTTTTGGAAAGGGAATTCTTGTTTGCCGTACTCCTTAAATTGTTTCTGTGGTTTTCGGGTTAATTAAGGTTCCGTGTCCATTACTGTTATTGAAAATTAAGGTGGAAAATAATAATAATTATAGCGAAACAAGTTATATGCTGTGCTGAGGCATGTATAGTTGAGTGCTTGAACAGAAGTTCCTCTGAGCTTGGTGGGTTGTCATCCTTTTTCAGAATTTATACCCTGCTTACAATATGTATCAGATAAAAGCGGAAAACTAATGATGTAGATTATTATTATTATTATTATTATTATTATTTTAACTTAGGATATATTAGTTCACTAGGATATGATTGGATCATAAATTATCATTACTTACTGAAGTCTTTCAAAATTTTGTCATCCAGAAGAAGTGTTGAAAAATTCACTCTCTCTTTTCTTGAATTGTTACAGTGAGGCAGTATGATGTCATTCAACTAAATCTATTGTAGTTTTTGTTTTTGTAGTAGAACAGATTCCATTCTTCCTTGTAAGAGATTAATCTATTCACCTTATTTTTATGATTCCAAAGTGCAGTTCAGGTGACAATGTCCTCCTCAAGGACTAGTCCATCATCCAGCAAAAATGCAGACAGATCAAGACACAGTGATAGGGTTATTGCTCAGACCCCTGTAGATGCAAAACTTCATGCAGCTTTTGAGGAGTCTGGTAGTTCCTTTAACTACTCCAATTCAGTGAGGTTTTCTTCTGGTACAGCTAGTGGAGGAGAACATCAACCAATGTCTGACACAGTAACAACAGCTTATCTCCATCAGATACAGAAAGGCAAGCTGATCCAACCTTTCGGGTGCTTGCTAGCTTTAGATGAGAAAACATGCAAGGTCATTGCCTATAGTGAGAATGCACCTGAAATGTTGACCATGGTTAGTCATGCTGTCCCCAATGTTGGTGACCACCCTGCTCTTGGCATTGGCACTGACATAAGAACTATTTTCACTGCCCCAAGTGCTTCTGCGTTACAGAAGGCACTAGGATTTGGGGAGGTTTCACTTCTTAACCCCATCCAAGTCCATTGCAAGACTTCCGGAAAGCCCTTTTATGCAATTATCCATCGCGTTACTGGTAGTTTGATCATCGATTTTGAGCCAGTCAACCCTCATGAAGTTCCCATGACTGCAGCAGGTGCCTTGCAATCTTACAAGCTTGCAGCAAAAGCAATAACTCGATTGCAATCTTTGCCTAGTGGGAGCATGGAAACGCTATGTAATACAATGGTTCATGAAGTTTTTGAACTCACAGGTTATGACAGGGTGATGGTTTATAAATTTCATGAGGATGATCATGGGGAAGTGATTGCTGAGGCCACAAAACCTGGCCTAGAGCCATATTTGGGTTTGCATTATCCAGCCACTGATATCCCCCAGGCTTCACGCTTTTTATTTATGAAGAACAAGGTCCGCATGATAGTTGATTGTCGTGCAAAGCATGCGAAGGTGCTTCAAGATAAACAAATTCCATTTGATTTAACTTTGTGTGGATCAGCCTTAAGGGCTCCTCACAGTTGCCATTTGCAGTATATGGAGAACATGAAATCAAGGGCTTCCCTGGTTATGGCAGTTGTGGTCAATGACAGTGATGAAGACGGGGATAGCTCTGATGCTGTTCAGCCACAAAAGAGAAAGAGACTCTGGGGTTTAGTAGTTTGCCATCACACTACTTCCAGGTTTGTTCCCTTTCCTCTTAGGTATGCTTGTGAATTTCTGGCTCAAGTATTTGCCATCCATGTGAACAAAGAATTAGAGTTAGAATGTCAGATTATTGAGAAGAATATCCTGCACACCCAAGCACTCTTGTGCGATATGCTGATGCGAGATGCACCCCTAGGTGTTGTAACGCAGAGCCCTAATATAATGGATCTTGTGCAATGTGATGGAGCAGCCCTCTTGTATAAAAACAAGGTATGGAAATTAGGGGTAACACCAAGTGAATCCCAGATACGAGAGATAGCACTATGGCTCTCTGAATGCCATATGGATTCCACAGGTTTGAGTACAGATAGCTTGTCTAATGCCGGGTTCCCAGGGGCTGCTGCTCTTGGTGATATTGCATGTGGAATGGCAGCCGTGAGAATAGCTTCCAAAGACATAGTTTTCTGGTTTCGGTCACACACTGCTGCAGAAATCCGATGGAGTGGTTTAAAGCATGAAAGAGATGATGGTAGGAAAATGCATCCAAGATCATCATTCAAGGCTTTCCTTGAAGTTGTGAAGACAAGGAGCTTACCATGGAAGGACTATGAAATGGATGCTATTCATTCATTGCAACTAACACTGAGAAACGCATTCAACGATACAGAGAGTATGGATATAAACACTAATGCTAATGATACAAGACTAAATGGTTTGAAGATTGAAGGGATGCAAGAACTGGAAGCGGTGGCAAGTGAGATGGTTAGGTTAATTGAAACAGCAACTGTGCCAATTCTGGCAGTTGATATTGACGGGATGGTCAATGGATGGAATGCAAAAATTGCTGAGTTAACAGATCTTCCAGTTGCGGAAGCTATTGGAAAGCATTTACTCACGCTTGTTGAGGATTTTTCAACAGATAGAGTCAAGAAGATGTTGGAAATGGCACTGCAGGGTATGCTTTACTTCCTTTCCCCATCTTATACTTTCGTAAGCTCTTCTCCTGTTTTCTTTGTTTTTAGTCTTGGCATTCATGAGTGAAAACTTTGAAATGATTGTAAGTTTTTAGATGTGAGCATATCATGTTCCCTAAAGCCATCCATGAATATTACATTATTGAAGACTTATAAGAGGATAGTATTTCTTGCTTCCTAAATTTATTCAATTTGTGCCCTCAAAAGATGGGAAGGAACGGAACACCACAAAAAATGTTATCCCAGCTTTCTATATTTCTAAATAACTGATTTGTTATGTTAAAATGTAATTAGGTGAAGAAGAGAAGAATGTCCAATTTGAGATCAAAACACATGGTTTGAAGATTGATTCTGGTCCTGTCAGCTTGGTAGTTAATGCTTGTGCAAGCAGGGATCTTCAAGATAATGTTGTGGGGGTTTGTTTTGTGGCCCAAGATATAACTGCTCAGAAGACAGTCATGGACAAGTTCACCCGGATTGAAGGAGACTACAAGGCAATTGTACAGAACCCAAACCCATTGATCCCCCCAATATTTGCCACAGATGAATTTGGCTGGTGTTGTGAATGGAATTCAGCTATGACAAAATTAACTGGATGGACGCGAAAGGAGGTGATGGATAAAATGCTCTTAGGAGAGGTTTTTGGGACCCAGATGGCTTGTTGTCGTCTAAAGAATCAAGAAGCTGTTGTTAATTTTAGCATTGTACTTAATAAAGCAATGACTGGTTTGGATACAGAGAAGGTTGCTTTTGGTTTCTTTACTCGGAATGGGAAGTATGTAGAATGCCTGCTTTCTGTGAGTAAGAAATTAGACATAGAGGGTGTAGTTAATGGGGTGTTCTGCTTCTTGCAGCTAACTAGTCCAGAGTTGCAACGAGCACTACATATTCAGCACCTAGCTGAACAGACTTCCTCGAAGGCAATGAAAGCTTTAACTTATGTGAAAAGGCAAATCCGGAATCCTTTATGTGGTATTGTGTTCTCCCAGAAATTGTTAGAGGATACTGAGTTGGGAACTGACCAAAAACAACTTCTGCTCACTGGCACACAGTGCCAACGCCAGCTTAGCAAAGTTCTTGATGATTCAGATCTTGACAGCATCGTGGATGGGTATGATATCTGGGAATTATGTGCTTTTTTTTCCATTGCCATTTGTGTGGTGTTAAGCATTTATCAATAGTAGCTCCTATTAAATCATATAAGTTCCTATTTCCCAATCTCATTGAAGCTGAAAACTATAAAGTTCCCAACCTCATGCTTGGCTTTTACCCCCAAAAATAAATAAATTAAATAAATGAAGGACAAGTAAAATTCACCTCTGACTGAGTATTCTGTAGAAAGTATAATCAAATATTTTAAAGGGTGCACAAGGCTCCTGACTTGTGAGGGCCGATTGTACTCATTTTTACACTTGCACTTTTACAAAAAGGTTGTTTCTCAGACTTGAATTCATGACCTTCCAGTCACAAGGAGCAATCTTATAGTTGCTCCAACACTAGCCCTCTGTAATCAAATATTTTAGTTGGAGATAATTTTGCTGGTAGAGATTTGAGTGTGCTTTACCAATTGCAATTTGACTTCTGTTTGTGTGCTTTTGTCAAGCAAGAAAGGGATCTGGATTTCAACTGTCCTATTCTGATGAGTGAAATCTGAGTTTATCTCCTGAATTTGGGGAATCAGATTCTCACAACTGACAAATTTTTCCCGTAAAAGCATAGACCTTGATGTGCACCCTTTTGTCCAGCATAATTCTAATTTAGATTATAACAATTGCATATTCCTTTCTTTCCTGTATGTTCAACAGCTACTTGGATTTGGAGATGGTTGAATTCACAGTGCATGAAGTTTTGGTTGCCTCCCTAAGTCAAGTCATGACAAAGAGTAATGCAAAGGGTATCCAAGTAGTCAATGATGTTGCACAGCAGATCTTGGCTGAAACCTTTTATGGTGATAGTCTTAGGCTTCAGCAGGTCATAGTAGACTTTTTATTAATTTCCATCAATTTTACACCAACTGGAGGTCAGGTTGTTGTAGCAGCCTCTTTAACCAAAGATCAGTTAGGGAAATCAGTCCATCTTGCTAATTTGGAGCTCAGGTAACTGTTACAGACTCAGATGGGAATTTTAAACTCTCTTGTTTACTTATCTGGGTCTGCTGTTAGTATTAGGCTTCATATGTGATTTAAATGCTGATAGACTAAATGTCACCTTTTCACATTATATTATTGTGCTGGTGCACAACTTTAACAAGGAAAATGAACTTGAAGAAACATGCAATATTGCCAGTGATTATATACTAAATTCTTAAATCATTGATTGTTTGCTTTTGTTATTTTTGCAGCATAACACATGATGGCATTGGGGTGCCAGAAGCATTGCTGAACCAGATGTTTGAACATGATGGACATGAATCCGAGGATGGTATTAGCCTCCTGGTCAGCAGAAAGATGCTAAAGCTCATGAATGGAGACGTACGTTATATAAGGGAAGCAGGCAAATCATCTTTCGTATTATCTGTTGAACTAGCCGCAGCCCATAAGTTAAGGACATAAAATGATACAATCAAATATTTTGTACATAAGAAAGTGAAGGGAGCAAGAAACATGATACAATAAGTTTTATTCCACTTGGCACATTTTTATAACTCCTTGTAACTTGTAAGGTGTAGATATTTATTAGTATCTATATGAGTTGGAAGTCTGACATTGGTTAGTTTATTTTGTAATTTGCCCCATTCCATAGGGATGTAGAAGGCTGGTTTATTGCTATATTATAGTATAAAATTAAAGTGGGACCATGCATAGGTTGCCAGCTTTGTTGCCTTTTCTAAGGATGATTGGAGGTGGGAAAGCAAGCGATAAGGAATCTTTGACAATAAAATGGACAGTACATTGACATAGAAAATCACCTTATGGCATTATTTTTTATTTTATTTTTGCTGCTTTGGCATAAAATTATTAGATTTAATAAACAATCCACACGATTAGTTTAAATAACTAATGTGGGTTGCTCACACAATAGTGATTTAAAAACAAGAAAGATATGGGAGGTTCGCATTCCTTGCATTAAGTCAATAATATTGTCAATAATTGATATTAACGTGGTATGTTGAAGGAATAAGAGTTTTTGCAGTAATTTTTTTTTTTTTTTTGATAAATCACATGTATTCTTTATGAAAGATAATTCTGTTCAGTGCAAATTCAGACTTAAGACTTTAAACTCTTCTCAAAGCTGATACAGCTGATACTGAAAAGAATTGAATACATATTTTCATCCCAGCTGCTCAATTCTCATACGTCAACTGAGTTACCACGTGCTTTTGCAGTATATATTAATCTTAGATATTTAATGAGGTGAGTTTCACAATATATATATATATAAGGAATTTTTTAATGAAAATAAATACATTTAAATTTTTTATGTATTTAGATAAACAAATTATAAAAAATAATTAAATTTTTTGAAAAAAAAATCTGATACAAAATATTACAAAAATATATATCTATTTGGAAAAACTTAAGAAACGGTGATAATCTGTCATGGGTGAGGCAATAATTTTCTAGTCTTGTTTTTTTTTTTTTGGTGAAGTCTAGTCTTGTTCTTTCATATGGTACAATGCCAAAGTTGAGAAAATTTCTTTAATACTCCAGTAGCATTATTAAATATTCAGTAGCATTATTATTAAAGAAAATATTTTCTTTAATTACATTTATTGTACCTATTTTTTTAGGATTAATATCACATTAATCTCATTCAATTTTACTTTTAAAATAAAGGAATATATGCTTAGAATTTACTCAAGTGGAGGAAAACTTTTTGGTGGGAGTCACTGCATCGAGAAGGTAGTTGAATTTGGGAGTGGATTCTCTCGTGTTAAAAATGTAAGTGGTCATATAAATTTTTCATATTTTTTTTTACATATATTAAATATATGGGATCCAATTATAATTAATGAAGAAAGAGATATCCAAGCTTATTTCTCATGTGAATCAGTTTACTTGTGACAAGTCCTAGTGGGAACCATCCATGTTCGCTATTCAATTCCATTGGCTTTTGGTCGGAAGCCTCTGTAATTTCAAATTCAACGTAACGATCGAGCTTCAGTGTTGACAAATAATTAAACGGGTAAGGAAAAGAAGCTCGGAGAGGAAAGTGTACATTGTATCCAAAAGAGAGAGAGAGAGAGAGGAAAGTGTACACTAACTTTTATTATTCATTTATAGAAAAAAAATATGATAGCGTTTCTGAAAGCGAAACAAATCTATTTTTATATTGTATACATCTTAAAAATGCAATAAAATAGGCCGGAAAGGCGGTAGGACTTGTATAAGAAGTAAGAAAGAACTATTAAGAAGCCCACACTCGACAGAACCATTGATAGCGCATTTTATTAACAAAATAACAAAGCACACGAGGATCTTTCAATTTTCAATTATCCAAGAAACGAATATGCGTTACCAAACATGAAATGTAAAGCAACAAGGATAAATTGAAAGGGAAGGGTAAGGTAAAAGAACAATAACAAGGACATTACAATTACAACAAACAACCACATCGTATTACATCTTGGGTGCTAACCTAGATTTGATTTTCTTAATCTCCTTGGTACCCACTTGGAATGTCTTGGTCAAAACATTGTCTGGAACAGGTGGTGTGGCTGCAAACAAGGTCAGAGGAATGGATTGGGTTCCAGGCAATTGGCTATTGAAGGCTGAAATCACTGCAGCAGGTTCCATTCCATTGTTCTTTTGGAAGTGAACTAGTCCTTTCGGGAACACGAATATGTCACCCATTTTTATGGTCTTTGATATTAGCACATTGGCTGTGGTTATGAACCCCACTTCTAGTTCCCCTACAAGCACAAACACTAACTCTGTCGCACGTGGGTGTGTGTGAGGTGGGTTCAGACCACCTGGTGCATAGTCAATGCGTGTCAAAGACACACCAAGAGTGTTGAGTCCTGGGACTTTCTCAACGTTTGCTGCAGTCACCGCCGAACCAAATGTGTTGTTTGTGGCACCTGGTTTCGCTAATATCTCCGAGAAGAAATCAGTTGCATTTACCATTGAAGCGCTTTTGCAGGTGAATCCATTTACTTTAACCGCTGTTGTAACATCAAAACAACGCTTCAAGAATCAGAATTGCCAAAAAAAATATAAAAAAAAAAAAAAAACGAAATAATTGGAAAAAACACTGTTTATCAGGTGGTGTTCAATTATTGCCATACAGGGAAGGGATAAAGAAGACTCAATCATATCAGTGAGATTACTGTACTTTATGATTAATCATTAGAGTCAGGAAAAAGCAAAACTAAAGTAGTTGGTAGGTATGAGAGAGTTGGATTAACAAGTTTGAAAGAAAAAATAATGAAATAAAAGGGATCAAATCTAATGATTAAGAGGAAATTGAAAAAAAGAGAGGGAGGGGGGGGGGTACTTCTTTACAGCTTACATTTCGTGTAATTGTATGCATACTCTTGTGTTCTAAACAATACAATATCAAAGAAAAAGAGATAAGAGTAATGTAAAAATAGTACCGGAAGCAAGGTCTGCGACACAGAGGTCTTGAAGAGCATCGGGATCTGCTGCAAAGGTGGTGGTTAACACCAAAGCAAGAGTCACTAGAAGCAGCGAGCCTGCGAGCTTCATAATTTGCTTTTATGATATGTGTGACAAAGCTAATTATGCAATCAAATTGACCAAAAAAGCCAAGAAGCCAGAGATTTTTGAAGCCAATGAGTATGTTTGAATTGATTGGATGGGTTGGAATGAATTGATGGTGGGCTTTATGGGTATATATATAGCAAGCACTTAGAAGAGAGTAAGATTAATATATCCATACATTGAATAAATGATGCGTATGAATTTAAAATAAAAGTCACTGGGGTCATCCCAAACCCAAGCCATGATTTAGGCCCTTTATCGAGCTATGACCCTGCCTTGTGTTGCGTCCCTTTGTACACCTCGCATGACCCACTCAGTTCTTTATTTGATCAAGGTGTTCATTTCGCATATAACTTATATCACTCTAAAATGATGTCGTTTTGGAACGGAAATCATGGTGCTTTTATAATTTTAATTTATTTTAAGATTATAATAATCTCTATTATTATAATTTATTAATCTTTCAATCCAAAACGATGTCGTTTTGAGAGTGAATACAAATAACTTATCTGCGATCACTGTATAAATATATTTTTTTGTTTATTAATTTATAAAACTACATTTAGTAGTTTACAACTTACAACTCGTCTAGTGTACCAATTTTGCACTGACATCTTGATCTGTTCTTATCCAAATGACGATATTTCCTTTAAGTTAAATGCTTACAATTACTTGCCTATGACTATTCCTCGCATTTATTTTATATACATAGTCCTGTCACCCACGATATGAGCCTGCTCCATTTCGGTTTCTATTTCATTTTCACTCCTACTACTATATGTGGTTTGTCTTCAAGTGGATGACATCGATATTCTTGCAAATGAATTATAGAGGCCTTTTCTTTAATTTGATTTGATAAACAACTGGCACTTCAATCGTTTTAAATATTAAAAAACTATCCAAAACGCAAAGAATCATAGCACCTCTTAGCACAAGGAGTTGATGAACAAGCTAAAATGCCGCACCAACTTCCCTCATGACTGTTAGTGGTGACTTTGTATTGCTTTGGTCTCTTTTGGGCTTTGTCCCTTAAATGAAATAAACGTTAGGTGTTGTGAGGACATGGGAATACTTGAATTTCTCTGCCAAGGGAAGACAGGGACACAAGCCATCCTCCAAATTCAAACCTACTCTTCTAGGAGTTGAGAACTCTTGTGTCTTCCCTCACTTTCAATTGCTGCTAACACTTCTTGGCTTTTCATCTGTTGGTTTGTTTGCTTCATACCATTTCTGCAGCACTGCTAATGGTCAAGCTTTAATTGTTTGACATTTGCAAAATTATTGAACTTTATTTTGTGAACATGCATGCATGCCATTAGTTCATAGTACCCTACCTGGCTACCCACTTCTTCAAATGCAAGTAACAATATTCTTAAGTTTATATATAGTAATTTGTACAATTTGGAATGGACAGAGAAGTAGAGAACAGCAAAACATTACTATAATGGTGTTTACCTTATTTATTCCATTTATATTGCCTTCTAACCGAATTAAACAATCCTCTACTTGTGAACCTTGCGTCATTGCTGTCATCATAAGATGCTACCAACAAGAAACGACGACCCCGTCAAACGGTGATATTTACATAAAAGCAAAGTCTTCCTTTAGTCCATGATAAAAAAAATTCTTCCCTTCCCTTTTACCCAATTTGGTTTAGTTCTGATGGGCTATCAAATGCCCTACCACTTCAATTTATTATTTATTTACTTTGAGTTAGTTTCAGAAGTTACTATTTAAAAATCTTAGAAAAAATAATAAAGCAATTTTTTATAAGTTTTTTCATTATTCAAAAAGCTTAGCAATTTATTGTAAACAAAAAAAACTCAACATATTTAGTTAAAAAGTATTCTTAAAAAAAAAATAGAAGGCCCTTTATTAGTTATAGATAAATTTTGAATTGAATTTGAATTTTTTTAAAATTAAAGTACCCAAAATAAATGAAAATTTATCGGAAGAAAAAAAATATATATATATATATATATAACCAGTATGTGACAATTATCAAATTTACATGAACTTAATAGACGGATAAAAGCGGATGTATTTGATAGGGGGAACCAATATTTCCGGTGAATCTTTCAAATAAAATTCCATTTATGCAAATATCCAAAAGAAACACAAGACAGTCAACTAGTCACATAAATCTAATAAGTCCAAAGCTAGATGACTAAAGGAATTTAGAGCATGTCAACGAAATGCAGTACCACGTCATGAAGAAGCAAAAAACTCTAGCTAGTATTCGACCGAACAATTTTTATAAAAAATCAGAACATTGTCCATAGTTACGGGTTCTCAAGCAGTGTCGAATCCTTGCTTGTTGTTTGAATGAGTTGAGCTAAACATAAATTGGTCCAAGTTAAATTTGGCCCAGTCCATCATAATCCATCCGAACTTGGCTTGGTCATAAATAATAAATAATTGTGTAGTTATATAAGCATATTTTAGACGAAGGCAATATGCAGCAACTTCTGTAGAAGATGGAGCTTGCAAATTTATCTACGGGCTTTTACAACTTTTTACGTTGCAAGAGAAGTTGGAGCTTTTTTATTAAGAGAGAAATGAGAAAATATTTCTTCTAGTAGTGACTTATAGTATAAGTGGGATCTACAAAATAGTGGAGAAAAAAAAAAATTAAAGTGGAACCCACTTATACTATGAGTTATTAATAGGAAAAAATATTTTTCCTAAATTAAAATGCCATGTTTGGTAGGTAAAAAGTGAAAAGTTTTCTAGATTTATTTTTCTCCAGAAGTTTGCTATTGTGTGTAAATATGGGTGTAGATACCACCTTTGAAATACCTTCGATTTGTTGGAATTGTTTCTTTTTTGGAGAAGTAACAAATAATGTCAAGCGGATCCAGCGGAAACCCGTGACGGAAGGCCACCACCAATGAGTTAAGCTACTCCAAATACACCAAGTGAATCCGACACCGCATCTCAACCCAAAACTTTAAGGCTTTGGGTTGAGATGCGGTGTCGGACTCGCGTGGTGTATTTGATCCACTTAGCTAATTGGTAGTGACCTCTCGCCACAGGCTTTCCCTGGACCCGCCTAACAGTGGTATCAGAGCCGGGTTGTACTCGAGCTAGCCTGGTGATTGGCTAGGAGGCGGGCGGGTTGAGTATTTGGGTCCCGAAATACTCGGTTGAGGGGAGCATATCAATATTGAGTTTCACACTTGAGGGGAAGATTGTCGAGATATTCAAGTGTGATGAGTCCCACATTGGTTGGTAATGAGCTAAGTGAAGAGTATATAAGTGGAAAGACCCATGAACCCAATGCCTTAAGATTTTGGATTGAGATGTAGTGTCGGACTCACTTGAAGTATTTGAACCACTTAGGATAAATAAACCCCAACGTTCATTATTTTGTTTGAATAAAAAAGTGAAGGTGAGATTATTTTTGTAAGATAACCTCATATTCTCAATAATATTTCACAATCATCCAATCACCCAATCACAGACTCATTAAACTTAACCAAATAATTCTGGAAAAAATTTGCTCTACCAAATACCATTTTAGTAACATTCCCAAAAAAATAAATTTGATATCATATTTTCAGAAATCATGATTCACGCATAAATAAAAATTTCTCCTTTATCAAATGTCCCATAAATATATGACAAACAAGAGAAAATTTAAAATGGTAGAAGAATATTGAATGATTAGATGTTCCCTCTCACAAAGATAAAAAAAAAAAACTCAAGTGTGCACTAGCTTAAAAAAGAAAGTCAGAGGGTAAAGTGTCCTTTAACTTTTATTATTTATTTATAGAAAAATAATATAATAACGCTTTCTCAATAGATAAATTTTATTTATTTTCTATACACATATAAAAATATGTGGAATCTATTTTTTTCTCTCTTCTCCTCACATGATCTAAGATAGGTTTCACATATTTTTATATATTTGTAGGAAATAATTTTATCTCCTATAACATGAAAAACAATTTTATTTTAAAAATAAATAAAATCGGATACAAGGTTAGCAAAAGAAACCCATTAATGCCCATGTTATGTATGGCTGTAAGACTTGAATAAGAACTATTAAGAAGCCAACACTCAACAGAACCATTGATAGCGCATTTTATTAACAAAATAACATGCACGTACGGATCTTTCAAATTTCAATTATCAAAGAAACGAATATGCGTTCCCAAACATGAATTGTAAAGCAACAAAGATAAATTAAAAGACAATGATAAAACTTAAAAAAGAACAACAACAGGGACATTACAAAAAACAAGGACATCGTACTACATCTAATTAATTAGGTGCGAACTTAGATTTGATTTGATTAACCTCCTTGGTATCCATCTGGAATGCCTTGGTCAAAACATTGTCTGGAACAGGTGGTGTGGCTGCAAACAATGTCAGAGGAATGGATTGGGTTCCAGACAATTGGCTATCAAAGGCTGAAATCATTGAAGCAGGTTTCATCCCATTGTTCTTTTGGAACTGAACTAGTCCTCTTGGGAACGCAAATATATCACCTTTTTTTATGGTCTTTGATATTAGCACATTGGCTGTGGTTATGAACCCCACTTCTAGTTCCCCTTCAAGCATAAACACTAACTCTGAGGCACGTGGGTGTATGTGAGGTGGGTTCACACCACCTGGTGCATAGTCAACGCGTGTAAAAGATACACCAAGAGTATTGAGTCCTGGGATTTTCTCAACGTTGGCTGTAGTCACCAAGGAACCAAATATGTTGTTTGTGGGACCTGCGTTCGCTATTATGTCCGAGAAGAAATCAGTTGCACTTACCGTGGAAGCGTCTTTGCACGTGAATCCATTTACTTTAACCGCTATTACCATCACAATGCTTCAAGAATCAGAATTGCACGAAAAAAAAAAAAAAACTCATACCTATATATACTGATTATCATTGATAAAAGTTTAAGACTAGATTATAATTTACTGTTGCCAATCATGCTACAAAAATATGCAATGAATTCTGTAATTTGCTGAAAGTTCATTTTATT